GTTTTATTGAAGTAGCTCCGTGCGCTTGGTCCCCGCTACGTCAGAAACATCGTGGCTGAACTGATAAAAGTATAAATACATGTATCGTACACCTGCTGGAAAAGGATTATCTAATGGTTTTTGCGCCTTGCCTAATTACATTTCGTACGCAGCAAGAACTGCACTGGTTGGCACGTCACTTCGTTTCTCTCTCATTATATTGCCTCTTGGTTATGTATTTATCGTATCGCAGGACTTTTACTCCCACTCGAACTGGGTGGAGATGGGCCACAAGGAGCCGAACGCCGGGCTGGCCGTCCCCGGGGCTGACATCGGGAGGGTTGCCGCCCCAGACACGCCCACCTGCGAGGACTGCAGCAAGACCCTGGGATTCCTCTGGTAGTACTGTACCTTCTCTGTTTGTGTACTAGTAACTCAGGCGAATTAGAAGTAACATGATTGTGATATCTAAGGACTTACTACGAGTCATATCTGCAATACCTGTATCTAACGTATCAAGCGCCCTGTCTTTTTCCTGGCTCATATATTTCTCGCGATCTCGTGCATATTTGCCGATTTGTTACTTACAGAATGTTTTTCTTTCCTATTTCCTATGCGGTAGTTCTCTTCCTTTCCTTTGTTCCCTTCCTTTCTATTTCTTGACAACGTCTCCTTTATGTCACCTGAATGGGGGCAATATCATCTCTGACACTCATGACCGTGCAGAACTGACGGGAGTCTCTGTGTGTTGTCAGGTACAAGTGCGAGGATAACATCCGTGCCGAGTTGAACCAGCAGGGGTTATTGACAAGCGGCTACTCCAGCAACCAGAAGGACCTGAACGGAAACCCCGTGAATAAACCTGAAGGAGGTACGCAGAGACTTGCCGGTGTCAAAACTACTTGTAGCCAACTCCGTCTAAGGATCACCTGGCCATTGTTGTCGCTTTTCCTATTGACACACAAGCACATTACGAATCCTTTATGTAATGGCCATCCGTCCCTAGTGTGGCCACCATTGACAGGTTTGATATGAAATAGAAGTAGCGCTGGTTTATGGCCAATATATCTTCATCGTTCATTTGGTATCCAAGCAGACGTTGGTTCCTCTCAACATCTGTCTCTGAATCTACATTTAATGACAGTTGGGAAGTGCAGTCACGGAGGCCACTTCGACGGGTCCAAAGACATACCGGCCGCAGGGGGCATCAATAAGGACACGAAATGGTCGCTCTTCTCTCCGCACAGCGACCTTCACAACCAGGCAGCACAGCTGGCAGTCAAGGTCAGGGAATTTTGAATACCCAGCAGTCTTTTTGGTAGTTGTTTAAGTGTATTACAGCAGCACTGCAGCAGCATGTTTGTATTTTGCATTTGCAAGTGACGTCAAATGAAACGCCTGTATATTCTGTACATGTGCATTTGTACATGGAGTTATAGTTTTCATGTCAGTCATGTATGTAATTTTAGGGTCTTCATTATAGAAAGTAATCATATTGGGTGGCTTTAATACATACATACATACATATTTGCTGAATTGCGAGTTCACATGTACATATACAAATTTCCAGTGGACATATACAATCGGCCTTGTTCATATGAAATCACCCGAACTGCGATTCGGGTAACTCGCATTCATTGCGATCACGATTCTCTGAAACTGCATTCATTGTTGTTTGATGAAAACACGCAAGGTAGCGTGTTATAAATGTCAGAGGTCAACGACCTGCTTGCTGGTGCCCCCCCTCCCAGCGTATCTCAGCCGAATGCCGACGTGGTCCCATCAGAGGTGGTGAAGCTTGTCATAGAACGTAACGGACACATTATTTGACCATTACTGCTCTTTAAGTTGCTGCCACGTAAAATTTGTATTGCGTATAAATAAAGAAATATCATCCCGTAATCCATGACCAGGTGAGGTCACATTGAAATCACATTGCGTCCAGACACAAATCGTGATGCGGGAAAACCGATTCGAAACCACCTCTAGAAGTGGTTTGGGATCAAGGCGCTTTCAATGTGATTTGGAGCGTTCAGATGGGGCCACTTGAAACCGGCTTCGGGGGAAACCACATGTAAAGCGCCTTCACTGACTTCATATGAACAGGGCCTAAAAGTTGGCAAACGGCGAGCAGGAGACAATGCATATTTAAAAGATGCAATAGCAGCAATACATATTTAAAAGAAGCAATACATATTTAAAAGAAAAAATACATATTGCAAAAATACATATTTAAAAGATACCAATTAATTATCAAAGATACCAATTAATTATCTAAATGCCACAATTATCTGAATGCCATCATTAAACAGGTTTACAGTATAGGATATGGACTATTTTGGTAGCGTTTAGTACGTGTTTGCAATGGGTCATATTTGTGACTTTGTCTGGTAACCCTCCCGCTGACTTTGCCCCTTTGTTGAGGTAATATCACATTTCTGAAAATAACACCTTATAAAAATGACAGGTACTTGCAGTCATTATTTAATGCCATAAACACTTTGATCTACTAAGTATTGTAACGTTATATGAAAAGTGTATAACATTGGAAATACTAGTTATAACGTAAGAATAAAAAACACCCCTCTCGTTGTTTATGGAGTGTTGGTAAGGCCACAGCAAGTGAGTTTTATGGATGGCATTCATCACAGGCTCCAAATCTAATGCGGGGCGGGGAAAAAAACAAGATTCCTACATTTTCTAATTTTGAGATCGTAAACCTTGTTGAACTTGCTTTTTCTTGCTCAGAGGTGTAATAAAATGGTCAACTCCAAGCAGATGTTCGCGTGGAACATCGTAACCGTGAACCTCCAAACTAGCTTACGGCTGCCGAAAATTAATTTCGCTCTCCATTCATGTACATTGTGACAGGCTACGGAGGAGTTTTTCCGGTCCATCCGGACGGCCACGGGAGACGCCCAGTTCGCCAACTTCCTGAACCTGAACTCGGGCAGCACGCTGTGTTTCGTCATCGACACCACCGCCAGCATGGACGACGACATCGCCGCGTCCAAGGAGCGGGCCTTGGAAATCATCAGCAGCCGGGTGGGCTCGCCCACCGCCCCGTCCAACTTCATCCTCGTGCCCTTCAATGATCCAGGTGACTGAGTTTAACGGATCTCATGGATGATTGAACTGATTTTCAAAAAGGTCTTATAGATATAAACGCCGAGCGCACACACACAACACTCTCCCCTCTACCAGGTCTCTTGAAAACTTTTCCTGATGCAGTCCAAACAATGCTTGTTTCCGCAGTTGTGGGCCCGGCCGTGGTGACGAATAATCCTGAAGAGTTCAAGGCGGCTATCGGCTCCCTGGAGGCGGACGGAGGGGGAGACTCACCGGAGTACTCCCTGGGCGCCGTGCAGATCGCCCTGGCCAGAAGCCTGCCGGGTTCAACCATCTTCGTCTTCACGGACGCCGAAGCCAAGGACGCCGAGTTGCTGGAGTCTGTGACGTCACTGGGCATACAGAAGAACATCAAGGTACTGTGTATAGTATATTTGGAGTTCATTCCGTACTAACACTTTTTTACGCGTCTACATCATGCAGAATATAAGTCATGTGTAGTGGCGTAATCTAAAGTCGTGATTTCCCCGCGTTGTGTTTTCAGGTCACCTTCTTCTTGTCGGGCACGGTGGGGCGAAGGCGGTCTGAGCGTTCCAGGACCAGGCGGGAGTCCAGAGACAGAGACACCTACCTCTCCATAGCACAGTCAACAGGTGGGTGGGCGACGCCCAGCTCTATCTGTTACGTCGATATTGACTTTGCTTGTCAATGGAAAGAAACAATGATTGTCAGTAACATTTTGATTCGTGTTGCCATGTCCATTCTCGTTCTCAGGAGGCCAGGTGCTGGACATCACCAAGTCGGAGGTGTTTCAGACGACCAAACTGGTGGACCTTGTGGTGACGTCAGCAGAGGTAAGAGTTCGCGATAGAACACATCAATGTAGATAAAAATCATTGACTAGAAATATTGCGTACCCGACAAAGACATGACACCAAGTGAACTAAATATCTGAATAGATGACCGATGATTTAGATCCCCTTTATCTAACTTGTCATGTTATCGAAGCAAAAAAAGGGTACTAGTATCTTGCACTTTATCACTCATTCATTCAATGACTCACGCCAACGACAGAAATCATTGATCTCGCTGGAAACCTCTGTTTGGCCGTGTCCCTCAATTTTACCGTTAGGGCAAGCCACGATGTACCATTTTACTGTTTTGTTGTATGGTTAACGTTACGACAAGCCATACGTCAGTCAACAGAAGTATGATGTGTTGAGTGACAGGTGCCCTGTTGAACTCTGTGTCAAAGGTCAACATCCTACAAATCCGGGACGCACCAGCTGGGACGGGAGATCACGTGATTCCCGTGGACCTGACCATGAGTGACGTCATCATCCAGGTGACGGGGCTAGGTGCCGAGCTGCAGGTTCTCGATCCAACAGGTGTGTCTTCTGTCTTCCGAGTGTCTTTCAGCTGCTTGTCTATTGCTGAAAGTTGCGAGAACGAAAACCTAAGAACTTGTGTTACTACTAACTATCGTTCCTTCCGGTGAGAACGCAACCTAAGTCTAAGAGTTTACTAACTATCGTTCCTTCAGGTGTTCTCCAGGAGACAGGTGAGAACGCCACTGTCAGTGTGGAGGTGCAGCTGAGTGACGTACTGGTGGTGCGCGTGCGTGACGTCACGCCGGGGGTGTGGCACGTGGTGGTCCTCTCGGCCGTGACCTATGACCTGCGCGTCACGGCGCAGAGCAGCGTGGACTTCATGTACGCCTTCGTGGACCGGACGGCGAACGACACCGAACACCCGGGCGTGTGTGACGTGGACGGGAGGCCTGTGTCAGGTAAAGCAAGCTTAAGCTGTCACACATTCAGGATCTTCCCCACGACTTTGTTCCTGACCTTTCCCCACCCCCTGATCCCATCCGAGCAGAATATAACCTTAACTTTCTCGACTTTGATGTTTCATAATTCTTTGCTGACTAAGCAACATCGCCGACCAACTTCCAACCACAGACAAAGCAACAGAATGCAAAAGGCGGGTAAATGAAAACAGGATCAGATAGCATTTTCCGGTTTAAATAAAACAACTGTTCATCTAAACCGTCTTCCAGGGCAGCGGCCGAACATCCGGGTGAACATGGTGGGCTCGGACCCCAGCCTGGTGCAGAACGTGACGTCACTGGACCTGGTGGGCTCGGACGGGGCCGTTCTGCAGGTGTTGTCTCTACAGGAGAACGAGCCTCTGTCAGAGTACTTCGCCGTCAGTCCCACCCTTCCGCAAGAACCCTTCAAGTTCAGGGTGCGAGGCTACGACGCGGCTGCAAATGCATTCCAGAGGTATGATATTCATAGGTACCATTGCCAACTGCAGATGCCTCCTTTCTACTAAAGGGCGATCGATCGCTGAGCGACCAAAATTTTGTTTGCGATCTGTAAGTTTGAAAGAATATACAATTGCTGTTTATGCGGTCCAGAGGCAATCAAAGGGTCACAACTGCATACTATGGGTAAGGGGATGAAGTTCGTCAACTCTGATTCCCTTGATTTCTTACTATTCAGAGTCATCCCCACCATGGTGCAGACGGCCACGTGCCGGTTCGAGATCACCACAGACCTGACGACCTTACGCCTGGTCCCCGGTGGGATTGTGGACGTCACCTTCACCCTGTACAACGCCGGTCAGTACGGCATCTTCACGATCTCTGCGAAGGACGACAAAGGTTTCGTGCAGTCGCTGGCCACTAACAGGTAGGTGCTGAAATGCCTTCCAATGGCCATGTACATATGGCTAGCTGTGTATTATGGAAATACTTCTCTTTGCAGCCTGACAATGATTACAATGGGTCAAATTAAAAACCCTAACCACAAGGCCCCCTTGCCTGTTCCTGTTCCCTCTTCAGTCTGCCCCTGGATGCGGGCGATCCCGGGTACAACAGGATGACTCTTGCCGCGCCGGCGTTAGCGGAATTCGGCACCACCACCACCGTCACCCTGACCGCCCAGTCCTCCGGAGCCTACAACTTCGTGGTCTTCAGAATCACAGTGTTGCCACCGGTAGGTGGAGATATTAACCAAGAATATGAAGGGAGGCAAAATTGTGACGTTGTCCTGTAATTCGGGCGGCATTTAACAGCTAGCTTCCCGTTTCTGCCAGTCACGATTTTGCCGCCACACAGTATCTGCTCGGAGATTAGGTAGAGCCATTTCAAAATACAACATATTTGTTTTCTACACTTAATTCTCCATTGTTATTAACATAAGAATGGTTATGATATTTAAGCCAGGGCAAAACATCTTATTTCTGCGAATCTTTTCTCAATTGTGTTTTTCCTTTCGTCCATCTGTCTTTGCAAATAGGAGCAAGACTTCATCCCGCCGACTTGTGAAGTGGTCGCCATGGTCGGGACGTGTCGGGACCTGGACGCTTCCGCTTGCGACTCCCGCACGTTCACGGTGACCACGGCTTACCGGGACCAGGGGTACGGGCTGAGGGCCATCTCCCCTCGAGCGGCCAACAACAACTTCACCTGGACACTGCAGGACTTCCAGCCCGGACTCACCAATCAGACCATCACAGCGAACTTCACAGCCAGCTGTTGTCAAACGAAGTAAGGAGCGATTCCGTCTCATGCTTTCTTTCTGTTATCCGGAGGCAAATAACGAATTCAACAGAATAAAGACATTGAATTGGGTCTCTCAGAGTTAAGTATTCCAAGCCATAAGGTTTTCTGTTGCCACCAATGATTCATGCCATTGTTGTTTGTTTAATCTGTCTAAAAACAGAGTGCAAGGCAACAGGGTTGTCCAGTCCACTTTGCAACATATTGTCATATTGCGTCCAGTTGAGGTGATTTATCGATAAATCTGTATTTTTATTTGATTTTCCAGCGTCGAGTTCGTGGTGACTGACCTCGTCGGCAACTATGACGTGTGCAGACCAGACCTGGCCCCTCCCCTCCCCAAGCAAGCGGCCAACACGGCCGTGTTTGTTTTCATCGGTCTCGGCATCCTCCTATTCCTCATCCTCCTGATCATACTGATCGTCCTCTTCGTTCGCCACCGAAGACGAAGAAAGTACAAGGCCCAGGAGAGGTACCGGGACGAGGTGAAGACTGGGGGAGCCGCGAAGGTTCTGATGAAGAGGGAGAAGAAGCCGGCGGCCGCCGCGGCGGCGACAAGGTCGGACGTGGCGGTCCGGTCGTCTGAAACCCGGATCAAATATCAGCGGGTTGCTATGACGACGGGGAGGGAGGGCCATCGCGTGGAGATCAGCGCGCACAGAGAGATGCGCACTGTGAGAACGTGAGGTAGATAATAGCAAAGTAGCAAAAAAATAGCAAAACTTGGCTAAATTGGGACAGTAAATTGCCATGGGAGTTTGGCCACCATAGGGCATTTGCCCGCGAGCTTACCACGGGCTCACTCCCCTGGCCCATTGTTGACCCTAATCATGCCGAATTCTACTATCCATAACCATTAGGCCAGGTGGAGGCTAGGGTCACAACACCCCAGCTACCAGAATGGAGTGGACTCCGTGTAATGCCCATCACCACAGCAGTAACATACAAAGATGATTTAGTTGTCAGATTTTTGTTCATAATACACGATAGTACGAGTACAAACGAGTACAAACATTATTGCTTACAATCTGTTACGGAACTGTGGTGGCTTCATGTTTCGAATATTTTGCCACCCTCTACATATCATGAATGATCTTCAGAAAATGGAACAAAAATGTTTAAAAGTCACATGAAAATGACGATATAGTATCACCATGACAAACTACAATCATCATGCAATCCTTCGGATCCGGAGGTTTTGGAGTTGCTCGTTGCCTTCGGCACACTATAATATTCATTCGTTTGTTTGTTTGTTTGTTTGTTTGGTCACATTTGCACATATTTTCATACTTCAAGGTGCATAGTTTTGTCTCGGACTCTGTTTGAAGACACAGTTTTACGTCTTCTTGTTTTTGATGTTGAAGGAAGCTGACGTCACGGCGCACAAGTTGTTCACAAACGGCCGCTAGGGGTCACTGCTTGACAAATATCTGTGTAGTTTTCACACCGTTCGGAGCTGTCATTGACTGTAAAAGAAAAAGTAATACAGAAGACATGTATAAGATTTTGTAAACCATTTCGTAAATCCTCTTTCTATAATTCAATTTTGCCGCCGAAATACACACAATGTTAAAGTTTATTTTCGATAGGGAGACATGTTACAACGTCCATAGCATACTTTTACTTTTCATATGTATTAATAATAATTGGTGAAATAATAATAATGAATTAATGATGATGTGCCAATATATGTATAGACAATTATATTTAAACGTCGCTTGTTCTGTTAGCATTAGATAGCTTAATTTTCATGTGTATAATTATTATAAATAGTAATGATGAATAATAAAGTGCCAATGTATGTATAGTTGAACTGATATAAAACTGACTGACTGAATTATTGTTTCCCCCAATTGCCTCTGTCCTAATTTCAACCAACCAACCCAACCGACAATTGGAGGAACAGATAATAACTGCAAGTACAAGACCCGCTCTTAGAGTCGCCACGGCTACACGCGTCTGCCTAAATACTAGTACCTCAACCGACCGCAACCGACCTCAACCGACCGCGTAATGGGTTAATATGCAGTATACATGGGCTAACAATCTTTTCCAACGCTCTGGATACATTGTCTATGCTTTTATGAATGAAATTTAAAAGCATGAAGGGATCGACATCCAACTATTGAAATAAATTATCTGTCTAGCCACCCCCGAAGTTTGTTGGTTGGTTCCGCGGAGCGTTCCTACTTGAGGTCAATGGAGGTCAAGCTGGTAGGCGTACGTTGGATGTCACGCTGGAAAACACTCAGTGTATAGCTATTATGAGTTGGTTATGATAGTATTTGTGCTTTACTATGATTTATAAACCAGCATCTTTCTGTTGCCTGTATAAAGCAAAAAGTGTCCAGAGATTCCCCATGCAGGCCCAACGATGAATAACTTTTAAAAACTGGTAAATACGTCAGAGTTACAGTGTTTTTTCCATTCATACAAGCACAGACAAATGTATCCAGAGCGTTGGAAAAGGTTGGTAGCCCATATATACTGCATATTAACCCATTGCGCGGTCGGTTGCGGTCGGTTGAGGTATTTAGGCATACCGCGGCTACACTTAATTGTTCCGCCTTACGTAAAGCATGGTGCCGTCCTCCCGTATATATCGCTCAGTCCGGATGATCCCTTTGTCAGTCTCGGTGTAGCCTCGTAAAACGTCTCCGTCCCACGTGACAGTGACCTGCAGAAAGGTGGCAGCGTCATGTATTTTGTTAGCCTGGAATGCTTTATCTCCGCTCCGTTCCTCCGCTCTGCTTTCAAGAGCGGAGGAACGGAGCGGAGATAAAGCGTTCACGGATGGATTCCAGGCTAATATTTTGTAGTCACGTGAATATGACGTAATTTTGTTTAACTTTTCCAAACTAAATCTGCAATCATCTCGAAAGTGGATCCACGCTAAATGTACCGAAAACTTAACTTTATTTATCTCAACATAAGAAATACAATGAACTGCCAATACAGGCTGCCGATTCTTTTACGAATTAACTTAAAATGGCGAAAATTATGAACATAGAAAAAGGAATGTTTGCATGATCAGTGTTTTTTCATGAAACATGAAGAGACGTACTTTGTACTTCCCTATCACGGTGGTTCCTTCCACTGGAACCCCTATCCGGAAGGAGACTTCGTGCGTCTACCCGGCCGGCCAAGAACAAAGAAAAGAACAATCATACATTATGATTTTACATTACATTACATTACATTACATTACATTACATTATACAATCATCAAGGTATCTACTAGCCTGTGTTCTTGTTGTCTGGGCGCCATGTAACGGATGGTGCTGTAACTTCGGATGACTTTTTACTAGTTCGACTTCACAGAGCACGAGCGTGGATTATCAGAAAACCGTTACGTTTTAATTAATAATAGTTAAGCCGGCCATTCCATCCATCCTATTCTAGTTCCGGTCGGCTCCTATGATCACTTCTCTCGAATATTCGGCATAGAAAGGAAGAGGGGAGGTTCTGGTCTTGGAAGAACTGTTGGATGAGGAAGAAATCTCACCTGTAAGGTGTTGATGTCCTTAACGTAAAAGCTGTCTCCATCTTGTTCGATGATTTGGGTGTTGCTCAGCATCTTAGCGATGGCACGAAGTACGAACCCAATACCTAAGATGATTTAAGACGTGTGTACACACACTGTTATTACGATGTCAGGTCATGAGGATAAATCTTAGCACGGCAGTTGCTCCGTTGCTGTATCACATCATTGGATGAATGATGTAATACATGTAACGTTACTTCCAAACGCAAAAGAATACAATTTTCGATCTGTTCGCAGCCGACGGTTTTCAGGATATTGTAGCTTCTCAATTATGCGACGACTTGGTATAAGTGATCTTAGGGAGAAGTGACGTGAGCAAATTACCAGGGGTCATTGACCCTGGACTGCGAAAAAACACGAATAACATTCCGGATGTCACCTTAATTATAATATACCAGATGTAGACATAATGGCCCATAATGTGTAGTTTGGCCACTCAGTGCCAAATGCTCTGTAGTCGGCTGCCTCACTGTGCCAAGGAGGTTTAAATTTGATTGAGCCTCCTCGGTCTGTACCATACTGTACCAAGCACTACCATGCTGCATGGTGACGGGAAAGAAGGCGTGTCACCTGCGATGTCCCCTAGAATGTGGCCGGAGGCCCAGGGCACCGTGAGCGGGGTGGGCCCCTAATTCTCTCGAACATGGGGGTCAAGGGCTTAACGTTAACCCTTATTGATAAAAACTAAAAAGGTGTCAGGCTTACACATACAACGTGAGAATGAATCTCCACACATCCATGTGTCCCAGAAAACCTTACCTAACGCCTGTAGATACGCATCGAAATTCTCTACGTGCACCATCTTCCAGGTCCCCGAGAGGTCAACTCTTTCCGGCGGCGACATTTTTCCCGATCGCTCGCTGCCTCTGTTAAAAATCAACCTACATCATGAAGGCCGTTGAGTCACCAAATAACGGACGACAGATGATTGCATAACGTGACAACACAAAAGGCCGTACTATGATCGTGAGGAATACCAAGAATGAATCGGTTTTGAATGACCGGTCGCCGGTTCCCTTCGCCGGTGAGAAGTGCTTCAGCTAGGTATGTGGGTCATAGGTTATGGGTCAAACAAACACAAAAGACGTATGCGTTCTCTGTGAGTGAGGGTAGTCAAACAGTAAAATTTAGCAAAGATGGAGAGTTCAGTAGTTGGCCAGGGGATTTTGGCAGCCGTAGAGTTCATTTACCTTACGCTACATTTATAACCTCCATGAAAAATTGAAATATTGTTTTTTGACTACCTCAGTCTGTTTCTGTGTCAGTGTCACGGTTTCTGCATATACTCAGCATATGTTAAAAAGACCTGGATGGATGCTATTTGGTATGTGGGTAGGTCTTGGAAAGACAAAAGTCAAATGTGGGCCTCCCGGTGGCTGTCCTTGGTACTGGCAAGACAGCCTATGAACTTCCTGGTTTTGTCTTTATTTGCTTTGGGTCATCCAATGATTAATTTTTTTCGTGGCAGATACCGTCTGCGTGATGTCCCGACCAGGGAATTTGCAGACTCTTGAACTTGAACATGTAGCTTTTCATGTGAGGAAAAAGGTGGTGTAGATTTGGTCCCCTGGCGGCTTGTTCTGGAACTACATTCCGTTGGCAAGCTGACTCCTCTGACAACATATCCAGTTGCCAATTTCTACTACTTTTATCAGTCCTCAGCTTTCGTAGCGACTACTTTTAGCCAAGGAGTTTAACAACCTCTTTGTGTTTAGCCTGAGTCCAAACAGAAGCGTACTTAGTGTGGCTCTTTTTACGGGTATAGCGTTAACCGAATAACAACTTATTGCACAGTAAAATAGATCTGGCGAGGTCAACGGAATTGTGGCTTTTACAAGTGGCATTGAGTCATATCAGCTATCAGCCTCTTCTCCAGCTGTTGAGAAAACGCCTCCAAATGAACGGGAACATCTCACTGACGGCTTGCTTACGGGTACGAGTATGTATACGAAATGGCGTCCGACGGGACGTGCAGTTCAGAAGGAGAACACCGCGTTTTCTCTTTCTGACGTCCTTTTGTTTTGACGACGTGAGCAAGTCGCATTCGAAGCGTTCTACAACAACGTCTGGAACAATAACAAACATTTAACATAATCTTGGGGCAGGGAGCTCGAGAGGCCTCTTTGATACGCTTCTACTATACCGTATCGCGGTCGTGTTATCACAATGTCTACATCCCCACGTTTAAACCACTGTTCCCACAGTGCGTGGCTCTTCGACCAGTTGTACACCTTCCGGAGCCGAGGCTTCCAGTGCGACTCTACAGTAGTGACGGAGGACGGGATGAGGTCTGTAGTAATTATTCTCACCCACTTACTCATTAAAGTGTCGGTTGTTACAGAGTTGGTTACGCGTTATAAATAATCATTGAGTTTAAAAGGAAATCGTGATAAACTTCTTTATTTCTTTCGTTAGTATGGTATGTGGAAGACATTACAGAATTGTTTACGGAATTGTCAAAATCATTCATTCGGTTTAAAAAGAAAATATCAAAGTCCCCTTTTCCCGTTCACATAAAAAGGTTCGACGTCCACAAGGTGGTGCTGGCGTCGTGCAGCGCCTGGTTCCTGGGCAGGTTCTGTCTGGTGACGGAGCGGGAAACCTCCGTCCCCGTGCCCTGGTCCTACTTCGCCGTGGTGCTGGAGTACGCCTACGCCAGGCAGTTCGCGGTTCCCGAGGCGCAGAGGCAGGGGATCGTCGAGGTGGCGAAGACGCTGAGAATGAGAGAGCTTCTCCAGCTTCTCGAGCAGGGTCAAGGCGACGCCAGCGTGCATCAACAAGACCAACTGTTCCTCGTCTCCCGCACGAGTGACGACGCTCTAAAGTCACTCCGAGTGCTTTTTGAGGCAGGTGCACTGTGTGACATCATGCTTTATTCAACCAGTGAGTCGGACAGACTGTGCATCCCCGTCCACAGAGTCATCCTGGCCGCCTGCGTCGACTTCTTTGCCAACAAACTGCCGCAGTGTCAAGCCAACGCTTGGGTAGTGAACGGCGTTCCTGACAAACTACTAAAGCCGTTTCTGGCGTACCTGTACACGGGCGAGTTCGAAATGTTCACCATGCACGAATGGAAGGAAGTAGCGCTTTTTGCCACGTACCTCGGCTGTACCACCCTCGTCGGTCTGTGCTGTCGGTTTCTAGAGACACGCTTGTCGCTGGACGACGTAGTTCAGGCCTTCAGATGCGCGAGGAAGACAGGATCCATACCCTTGATTCAGTCCGTACACGCGGTTGTAGGTCGTCCCGACGTCTTCCGCAGCTTCGCGGACTCCGAGGACTTCCTGGATCTGGACGCGGACGAGATAGCGGAGATCCTGCAGGAGGACACGCTGTCCTCGTTCTCGGAGGAGACGCTGTTCGACATCGCGCTGCGGTGGATCCTGTGGGAGAGAAACAACAGGGCCCTGGTGGCGGGGACGGTGATGAGCGCCATCCGCTTTTCCTGCATCCACCCGGACGCGCTGGACAGAGTCCTGGCGAAGGCGCACTTCCTTCGGAAAGATTCTTCCTTCTACAAACAAATCGAGTTCGCCAAGGAGTACCACAGGGACCCGGAGTGGCAGCACCTGAACCACCACCGTAAGAACAGGCAGACCTGGATCCGCGGCGCCACGGAGTCCCTGGTGGTGCTGGGGGGTTGCTGCCTGACGCCAGAGGCTCTAATAGCGGGCGATGTTCTCTCTGCAGAGGTGACGACTCTCAGACACAACCAGGACACATGGACAAGCCTGACCAAAATGCCTCTGTCTATAGTGCACGGAAGTAAGGTCAGAGGACTCCAGTACGCCTCCGTAGCCGTTCTGGACAACTTCCTGTACGTGGCTGGCGGGTTCCACGACTCAGGCGACTGCGGAGACCACGTGGACTGTACCGACATCGTCATGCGGTTCGATCCGAGAATCTCCGTGTGGCACCGCGTCTGTAACATGCTGTCGGCGAGGAGACACTTCCAGCTCGTGGCCGTGAACGGTTACTTGTACGCCCTGGGTGGGACCGTCTTCAGAGACCCCTACAAGTCTGTAGAGAGATACGCCCCGAGTCAGCGATTCTGGCAGCACGTCTCGCCACTCATGGAGGACCCCGATGCCTTCGCTGCCGTCTCCCTTGCCGGGTGGTTGATGATCTCCGGCGGGAGGGAGTTCGGCATGGCGGCGGCGGTGCGGAGGGTGCAGGTGCTGGACCCCTACACCGGCTGCTGGGACGATCGCTGCGCCATGTGGACTCCACGGGCAAACCACAACATGGTGGCCACGAGCAGGTTCGTTCGTTCGTTCGCTTTCTCCTTTCCTTCCTTCCCCCTTTCCTCATTCGTTCCGTCCTTCCCTCCCTCCTTTCTTTCTTCCCTCCCTCCTTCCTTTCTTCCTCCCCTCCTTCCTTTCCTCCTCCCTTCCAACCTTCTCGCCTCCCTTCCTTCAAATATTCCTCATTCATTAGTCTTTCTTCATCTTTCGTTCCCATTCATTCATAGTCCTTCATTCTTGTCCTTAATACACCCTTCCTTCCTTCCTTCCTCCCCTCCCTTCTTCAGATACATCTACGTGCTGGGCGGCGAGGTTCAGTTCACGGACGACGCGGCGCCGTTTGCCCTGACCCTCGTGGAGCGGTACGACCCGTTCCCCGACCAGTGGACGGTGGTTCCCGGCGACATGTTGCCGAGACTGGAGGCCGCCGCCACCGTGGTGAACGACGACATCTACCTGGTTGGAGGATACGACCCCGCGGAGCCCTTCATACCGAGCGAAACCGTACAGGTGTATAGTACAAGGGAACAGACATGGCGGCTGGCGGCTAACATGCCCCGCGGACTTATAGGAGCTTGTGCCTCCTCTCTCATCATACGGGACTCTCACTTGTTATGACAAAGTCGAGACTACTGTTATCTCTGTTATCTCGGTGTTTGTGAAAGAAGTATTTTATCATTGGAATTTCAATTTGCTCCACAACAAACGTTGATAGCATTCCTCTCATTAAATGTCTAGTAAGAGAGGACTGAATTTATCTTATAGCAAATTATATTGCGGCAACGTTAGACATTAATTAAAAAGTATGCCTGTAACGTTACGTCTTGACGATAAATCAATGGAAGATTTGAATAGCAATCGCACTGTTGTGGAATAGAAAACTGGTCAGATGGAATGAATATATAAAGCACGGAAATTTCCGTGGACAATAAAAGCTGCTTGCGTCACAGGCGGTGATTACATCATTTTCGCCAACATTCGAACGCATTCGAATTTGTTCACAAAGTCCTTTATTAGATCGCAATCGAATGTTCTAATGGAAACAATTTCTTTTTACGTCACAATGATGTTCTGAGAGAGACGAGTTTGTTTTTTTACAACGGATAGGTAAGGGCATTCCCGCACGTACTCATTGTGCTGGAAGTCGATTAAGTTCTGTCGGTTACTGCCCAAGGAGACTCTTGAAGGAGGCGGCGGCTGGTTGGCGACCTTCGCGTCTTCGCTTTGGGTGAGATCCGTAACTCATGGCGAACAGCGGTGACGGGGATTCGAAGGTCAGGGAACCACAGAGATCCCATTATTACAAGGTGTTCCGGTACGGGGAAAACGGGTCTGCCGAAGAACATTACCTGGGTAGGTAATTTCTGTCAACCTAGAGTTAGGTTAATGGTTGTTCCCGACGGTGTGTCGACCGAAGTTAACTATGACCAGCTTCGCAAGCACGCGTGAGCGGCTGGTGTGTTAAACCGAATGACCTGTCACATTTACATATATCCTTACATCTAACCTACTGCACTTGGTGACAAGCTCCACGCAGGGGGACAGCGCGACGCCCCTGCTCACAGACATGCGCATAGATTGTATTGTTGGGCGAAAGGAATGAATTTTTGAACACTCCGAATCTGGGTTGGTAAATCTGGCACTGTCTTTCCACATTGATATGCCAGAGGTTCTGCGGGACGATAGGCGACGAGCGAGGACCACTTGTGAAAGGCTGGCTCCCCACACTGGCTCTCGCCTGGCGGATCGCATTCGTGCTTTCAACCGACGGGCTGCAGAAGAACAAGGTCGTCAACGCTTGAAGCAGTCTTCAGACGCCGCCCAGTTGCAGGCCAATTCACGAGTCAAGTGTCGTGGTAACAGAAGGACCCGGAGCGAAACGTCGCCAGGCGCGCACCACCATGACCAGAACGAAAGCGTCGGTGGTGAGCCGGTCGCCAATGGGTGCTACACGGAGCGCCGTTACCTCCTGGACACGAGACGCCACTCCACGGACAGGTGTCACGCCAGGCTCTCCATAGAGATGTCTGTGACAGACCCTGCTGTTGTGCCGGTACAAAACCAGCTGCTGCTCAGCGCGCTCCAAGCTCTCTTCATTCCCTCATGTCCTGGCATCTGTATAGAGCGAGTTCACTCTCTTCAGGTACGAGTACGTAGGTAGTACTGCAGTATGTATGTGTGTGACTGTGTGTGACTGTGTGTGTGTGTGTGTGTGTGCGCGCGCGCGAGAGTGTGTGCTCGCTTGCATATGCGTGTGTGCGTGAGGGGGGGGGGAGAAGTCACACTCACTGATGCCTTGTCTCTGTGATGTTGGCCAGGATATCGTCAGTCGTGCAGTCACGAGTTGCGAAGTCAGGCCGACGTTCTGGTGTAGATCTTACGAGAAATGCAAGGCGGCGCTGTTCCTGTCGTCCGAGGCGAAGAAGAAAGTGAAGCACGAGAGGCAGTTCTTGCTGAGGGCCCTGCGCTGCATCTTACAAACGACAGACATCGCGGTCTTCATAGATGTTTAGAGCTGATGTTACCTAACATGCTAGTTTCTGCTATACTCCATCGGTTGCTGGAACTGGCCAAATACGTTGGTGGACACTGGCCAGATTAACATTGGTAATCAACCAATTGCAACGGACGAATTAAGAGTTACATCTCAGTCCCGCAACCACTTCCTTATTTGGGCCGATTTCAGCAACTTTCCTCAATTCGACGGGAGATCTGGTAAAGAGTACCAAAATATTGAGGGTGATCTAGGCAGCCTCTCAGCCCTACTGAAAATGGAATAAAGCACTCAAGAAAAACACTTTTGCTTTTATTGAGTCCTAGTGCCTTTTGGTGTTACTTGTAGAGTTATTATGCCATGGCGGATGATGTATTCTACGAGCTTTACTTGATGTATTACAATGATACATTTAGAGAAATTTCTTGAGCAGGCTGTACTTGCAGATAGCTGCAGTACGATAAATACATTGAATAAGTAATCAGCACCATTGTGAGACATGCATATGCGGGTACTTTAGTTCAGATATTGATAATTATTGTCGAAATCTGATATTGCTGTGTTTTGGCTTCTTTCTTGAAAGCAACTGAAGACAAACTACACTTACATGCTTCCATTCCTCACTGTCTGCTGCCCGGCAGTCTAAATCGATATGACAAAATTCAAATTCACGAAATGGGGAAACATCTCTCTCTTCATGATCTACTCTTCATAACATACAGTCTACGACAAAATCCTTGCAATGGTGAATCACGCGGCAACTGGCCGCACGTAACTACATCTTGGGTGGAGCATCTGGAGCTGGAGGATTTTGTGGGTAGGCTGGGTTGTCGAAGCCCGGGGGTTGTTGTGGGTAGGGTGGGGGTTGTTGTGGGTAGGGTGGGGGTTGCTGTGGGTAGGGTGGAGGTTGCTGTGGGTAGGGTGGGGGTTGTCCAGGTGGGTGCTGTGGGTAGGCAGGAGGCTGTGTAGGGGGGTACAGGGGATACTGGCCCGGTAGGTTCTGCACGGGCTGCGCCACAGGTGCCGCTGTAAAAAAATGGCGATATCTGATTATTGTAGGATAATCTTTATTGACACAAGAAAGTGTTATTGTCTGTCTTGGATTTCTAGGAAGACTAGTGGTGTGCCCTCGAGTAAAGTCCATAAACTAGTGGATAAAAATATCAGAAATGTTGCATTTGGAGTACAAACATTACTGGTTTTTAGTCTAAACGCTCTTTTATGTATTTGCCTATTTGTACAGAGTCCCTATAGAATGTAATTAAATTACTAGTATACTAGTGCACACACACAAATCATCAAAGTTTACTCGCAGAGCAACCCGCCCCCAAGTGACAAGTGCGCCTTACACCGACGTTACATAAAACCTTTACCCTGTGATTGGTTCCTCCGACTGTGCTTTCTCAGAAAGTAGCAGCGACAGGCAATGGAGATGGCGGCGACGAGGAAACCCACGACAGTAAAAATCGGCCAGAGGCTGAAACTGAGACAACAGACGACATGTTTCAGTCTACGGTAAAATGCGTTTCATGATTGTATGAATGCTGTCAACTGGCACGTTTGGGCGGAATCTATATCGTAGAATTTTCCAAGCAGGCTTTGACAGAACAAACCACCGACAAGGATGTAAGACAGCTTTCTCTGCGTGTAATATTTAAGACAGTGTAATATTTAAGACAGATATGAATTTTCCACCTATGCACGGTTATCCTAAGGATGTCTTCAGTTTGCGATCCTACGACGATCGCAGGACGGATGTGATTAGGCCCTAAGGCGTATCTAAAACTCAGCAAACAAATATCGACGGAGAGAGTAAGGCACTCTACTTCTACTCTGGAGCAAAGTAAACAGACTTTGACCGTGTCCAAGTCCACTGCTCCTTGCTGCCATCACAGCAACGGTTGGTCGCACAGCACCATTTCTGATCGGGGCTGTCGTACGAACGCGGACAGCTGAAGGACCCGCACCACTCTCCGCTGACAACCGCTGGGCCGGGAAACAGGAACAGAAGTTATTAGAGCCAACAATATGGATACCCAAGTACATGGTATAATGAGCATACAACCAACTACCAAGAACGGTGTATGTAATCACACCCCTAGGCTAACTAACTGATAATAAGTTAGAAACTCGTTCTGCAACTTTCGGCCGACTCCGGCTGCCTCAGAAACATGGCGACACCAGGCATTGTTGGTCAGCTTTGCCAAATCAATCCAACAAAACAGATTTCCCTTCGCGCGAAAATTTCTGTTCTCCTCAGTAGTTCTTGCACACTATAGCCTCCCCTTTCCCTTACCACTTTTTATCCTGTTAAAAAATGATAGAAGCCACTTAAAAAGCATCCATGTCTCCCGGCTTGGCCTGCTATCAGACAAGTCACGTCAGACTGCGTCTTCAGCTAACTCATTACAGCCGAACTATTACTGCTAACTTACTCGTAACGTCATGTGTCACTTTAACTGTACATATTACAATGATTCGTCTTCCTGATTTACCATGTAACAATGCTGAAAATAGCGATATAGCAATATACTAGCATTACATGGTACATGTATTTATGTCTTCGGGTATGTGTGTGTCCTTACCTGTCGTAAAAGCGACGGCGACAACAAGTATTGCCCGCAACATTGTCAGAAACTTTTACGTCTCCTTTTATGTTGCCAGTTTCAATGAAATCATGAAATGTTGATTGAGCCGCCTCGGTAGTTACCGGAGTGTCATAGGCCTGTGTTCAGACGCGAGAGAATATAAGCCGATGTTTCTATTACCTCAGCCGTATATAAGACGGAAGTGACGTAAGGTCATAACTACTTCCTGTCGCATATCTTTATCTCCAATCAGATACAGGAATAGGTTCATTCTCCGTGTTTTATACAAATATTTATATGCTGAAAAAGCTCAGTGCTTCCTGTCTCACGAAAAAGAATTTTTCCCGTTATCTCTGATGACGCAAAGTCATAATCTCTAAGCATATTTTGGTGGCTGCAAGACCCTGTCAAGATTGAATTTGAAGACAGTATCAAATAGGCAAGACATTATCCAATACGCCACCTGAAGTTTGGCTGGCGATAAAAATACATGTATATCAACACAAAGAGGAAAGCCCGTGAGTAATAAGCGCGAAGATTTTGCCGAAGCCTAGACTTCTGCTTGAAAATGCATATCTGAGAACGCAGCTATGTGGCCGTAATGAGTGCCATCAGCGGACGTCGAAAACCGGATCACCATTGTGGTGGACTAATACAAAAAAAGCTTCGCTGGCTGACCATCTTTCCACGCCCGAAAATAATACAGGCTTTCGGCAAATTCATTTCTTACCTTTGAAAAGAAGGTTTTCGGTTATGTCATTGTACGGGAGTGGCTGTGGTCTGGGTCTGTTTATTGGTTATTTGCTCAAAGAAGACAATTTGTAGTAAATAATAATAATAAGAAGAATGTACCAGAGAAACCAGAAATCAAACAGGTCTATCTAGAGTTGCCCCTTAAATGCAATAATTGTTTAATTACTTAAGTCAATTACTGCTAATTCTAGCACAGAATCATACATTGTAAATGAGATGAAACTTTGTATGTCAACAACATAACGAGAGAAAGAGAGAGAGAGAAGAACGCTACCGAAAACCAAGGAGGTTAATATTTAACCTCCTTGCGAAAACATAACCTTCTTGGCGAAGGTTAATAGTCACAATTTCGATTACAGTTACAGTTAAGCTCTTAGTTACAGTTGTTTAAAGCTCTTCCGTGGAAGAATAGTTCTGGATGCGCTCATCAATGTTTGCTCAAAGTGACCCTTCTGCACCTGCGCCAATGTCTGACCTTTGCCCATCGAGACATAAATAGAGTGCTGGAGAATGGCCTACTTTGAGAGAGCCAAATGGCTTGTACAGTATCTGCTGCTCTTGGTGTTGGGAAGTACACTTTTCTTGGTTTGCTCTATCTTGGTGAGGACAGCATGCCTCTTCCCGCCCTTCAGACGACAAATTTTAGCTTTCTTCCAGAAAGGCGCAGACAGGAGGGCCCCGGGGATGTTGACCACGCCTGAGCAGTGTCAACAACGCCTGAACGAACGGACAAGTCTGGCTGCGTGGAAAGGAATGCTGTTCATGTTGACGTCTTGGTTGGAGGCTGAGGTGTTTGAGGGAGGCAAGGCCACCGACTCCTCCCTCGTAAGGCTTGACGGGAACTCCTGCCGGCTGCTCCAGTTCGCCCGGGCGGCCCGCCCTCTGGTCATCAGCTTCGGCAGCAACACCTGACAACCGTTCCGGACGAAGTTGGACATGGTCAAGCGGATCATGTCGGACTTCGCCGCCGTGGCCGACTTCGTGGTGGTGTATGTGGCCGAGGCGCACCCCACCGACGGCTGGGCCATGAGTGGGGGCATGGACATCCGGCAGCACCGGAGTCTGGAGGAAAGACTAGCGGCGGCGGAGATGCTGGCTCTGCACGACCTCCCCTGTCCTATCCTGGTGGACACCATGGACAACGCCGCCGCCCGCGCGTACGCAGCGATACCGGACAGGTGAGTTACAGGTTTATCATCATGATTTCACCTCATTATCCATTTTGGCGATACGCCATATTTCGTTCTTTACCTGTAACAGTAAGGTAATTTGAGCGAACTCAGACTGAGAACGAAGCATGACTTTTGTATACAGAACCGTGCTTTATCCAGAACCATGCTCAAGCACTGCTCTTGATAGTCCACAGTGACAGGTGTCTGGGAAAAGAACAGTGCCTGGGACAAACCTACACGGAGACTGTCCAGAACCGTGTCGGATGTCCTTGTCCTAACCCACGCAGGCACAGAAGTATAGGGGCATCTTTCTGGATAAGATTCTAGTAACTACGTTTTTTAAACAAAATAATTACCTTTTTTTGGCGACGCATCAGGGGCGGAGGTATTTCTTGTTAATACTGACGGAATGATGTTTTTTGTTGCTGTAGTTTGCTTGCTCATCATTTCTGTCATCTTGCCCGCAGGTTGTACATCGTGTTGGACGGAGTGTGTGTTTACAGGGGCGGGCCGGGTCCGGATGGCTACCACCCGGAGGAAGTCCGTGATTGGCTGCAGAGATTCTCTGGATAAAGCAGCGGCAGTTTCTCAGTAGTTATAAAATGATGACTCTTTGGTAGACTCTCTGCGACATCCTTGTTATCGTTTATTACCTCATTGTACCAAGAATGTCCTTGATTGTACGAAGGTTTTCTGTTCGGCGCGTTTGTCTCTTTGCTTGCCTACTCTAAGGTACATACGAAAACACTGCTACCTGACTAAATACCAATGAGGAAACACTCATAAGTAACCAAGTAACTCGGATGAAAATTCCCCATTTTCATACATTGTGAAGTATTGATGACTTTATTACCCGTTTTGGAATGCAAAATACAAGTGCGTACAACAATCCATCACAAACCTTCAGAGTGATCCAATGTATCATCGGAAATATTTTGTAACTCTGGGTACAATATTACTGAGTTTCTAACTTTTGAGCATATCAGCAGAAGTGATGACAAGGTGGAAACGTGGTGAGAGAGCATGATGGTCTCACTGGAAACGTCTAGGGCACTGGTGAGAACCTGAGAACAGGACCACCACGGGTTCACATTGGCTTCGCTCTGATGTCAGTTCAATTGTGGAACCTCTTGTTATTCAATGAGATGCTGATGAAGAATAAGAAGAATAAAAAGAAAGAAGAATATAAGGAAAGTCCTGAAGCGTAACATAGGTCGGATACTTAAAAGCCCTCTGTCATGTCGTTGATCAATAATCAGTGCATAATGAGTATATTTGTTTTCCCAACCCTTGTCCTGCTGTGCGCAACATATGTCGCGCGGCACATACAGTACCATCTATATAACACCCTGTATAGGTACGATTTGGGGGTATTTCTCGTGCAACGCATCACACCGCAGCGAAACGCAACGAATGTGGACTAAACATTGTTGTGGCGTTTGATGCCTCCAAGTTCATACACTTTGTAGAGAGGTTGACACATAATAGGAACTATTTGATATGTTCCCCACGACTCATGTAAAAGATCAGAATATTCAATATTAAAGCATTCAACCATTACAAATTTGAATGTTAGGTAGTAGTATAGGCCCCAACGTTTTCTGATGCCATCCTTCAGTCACTAGGTCAGCCCTGTCGCGATGCCCAGTATGCCACTATCCAATCCACCGTGCGCTTTTTGGCCTCTTCCCATGGCACCACGGGCTTGTACCCGAGATCCCTTGTGGCCTTGTCATACTTGAGGCACATGGTAGTATTGGATACCAGGATGAGCCCTGCAGTCCAGGGCGGTTGGAAGTTGTAGACAGGGGAGAGGACCCACCGAATGAACTCAAAGAAAAGCCCCAACGCATAGAGCACGCGAATCGGCAGGAAGGGCTTCTCTTCCGGGGTGAAGCCGATCGCCATCAGGAAATTCTTCCGGTGGTCTACGTAGTTGTTGACGGGCGTGTCGTCGCTGATGAAGTAGACCTGCCCGCCGACGACGTCGGGGGCGGCGACGAACCTGTCCACGGCGAGTCGGAGGGCGTGGAGGAAGTTGTCCAGGTACACGAAGGTGCACCGCTGGGTCCTGTCGTTGGCGACGGCGTAGGTGGACTGCTTGCTGGCGACCGCCCTCTCTATGTCCACGAAGAGGTTCATGAGCCCCTCCCCGTACATGCCCATGGGCCGGAGGGAGCAGGTGCGGAGAGTCTTGCCGCCGGCTGTCCTTCTGCCGTCATGCTGCATCACCCTGGCCTCGGCCTGTAGAACACACAACGGCTTGTCTTGATACAGCAGGATTTCAGACATTTCGTCTTTTATGATGTCTCCTATACGGTGTTACCTATTTACTAACTCGACTCAGGTGAACACGGGGTTAGCGACGACCTCTCAGGTGGGACTTAAAGCTGGAGGTCCAGAGTTTGAGGAGAGTCACACCTCGAGCACGATAAAGATACCACCACACTTGACGAAAAGAGTAAGTGCCCTGTGAATGGTTCAACCCTTACAGTCTGGCCTCCTAGCTGGTTGGCATCCGATTGAAAAGGTGATAGTCACCTATTATGTTAATCCTACTACAATAAATTGAATTAAACTCGAAATACTTGCCTCGGCCTTGGTGGTGGCGTAGAAGAAAGAGTGGGTGGAGCTGTCGTACGGCGTGTCCTCGTCCCCGTCGGGTACCGGGTCTCCCCGCCGGTTCGGCCCGAACGCCTCCACGCTGCTCACGTTGATGAAGAACGGAACGTCCGCGGCCAGACAGCTCCGCAGCAGAGTCTCCGTACCTGGGCAGTGGTAAAGACGTAGAAAATGCCGTATAAAACGTCCAATGATTCCGAAGATCTTTCAATGATGTAAACAGCCAGTGATTTCGTTTGACCAACGTCCTGTGGAACAAGGTGCCTGCTACTCACCATTGACGTTGACGTCCCACGTGACTTTGTCGGGAACCTGTCCGAGGAAGTCAATCAGCGCGGCGGTGTGGATGACGAGGTCGGCCCCCGTGCAGATCTCCAGCATCCGGGCCTCGTCCCGAATGTCTCCGTCCATCAGCTTTATCCTCATCCCTGCGGATGTGAAACGTCAAATTACATAACAAACGTCAGGTATGTGAGAAACGTCAGGTACCTTGTGTTATGTTTCGAGATAGAAGTTCACGAAATATGGGTCTCTTTAACTGATTCATTTTCATTTTCCGAACTTCGTATTAGGTTACAACTAGAGTCCCACGATCTCATACCTTCGCCAAATGATGTTAGTCTTTATGACTGACAAAGATGATTCCTCCTGATTATGCAAATTTGCATGAATTATATAATATTCTCCATCAAAAGACAGCCTTATCTTAACAAAGAAAGCCATTCTAATTCCATTTCCTCATAAATTATGCAAAAGAGGTCCTTATTTGAATAAGTTATGTTTAATGATGTTCAGGTTCACTTAACTTTTAAATACCCCAAGTATGAAATTCCAGGCAGTAACCATTATGGAATTAAAACATTTTCTCATTAATTATGCAAATTAAGTGTTAATTTACATAATTAATATCTGCCTGTGTTTCTCTCGTTCTCAATTACATATGTCACAAGATTGAATAGTCCTATAAGGTAATGCAGCTGATTTATAGAATTTCCTCATTAATTATGCAAATTACATCCAGATTTGCATAATTGTCACATAATTATATCAAGAGTCACATAAGCTACCTACATACCAAAAATTATGAAGATCCGTCCACCGGTTCTTGAGTTATCCTGTTTTGAATATTTTCAAAGAAATGTCCCTGCAGTTCCTGAGCAAGCTGCTAGGGGGCCCAAACTTATGTCACTTCTTCCCGAGCACAATGCCTACCTACCATCCAAATTTCGTCACCCTAGCTTGTCTAGATCATGAGATATCAAAACCGGAAGTTCAGCTGCAGTACCATTAGAAGCCGCTAGGGGGCCCAAAATCTAATCATTTCGAGGTTTCATCAAGACCTACCCACCTACCAAATATGAAGTCAATCCATTTAAGCCTTCTCAAGTTATCGTGTTTACAGACAGACAGACAGACACACACACACACACACACATACACGAACGCCACTGAAAACATAACCTTCTTGGCGAAGGTAATAAACGGATCTGTGACATTCTACGGGCATGGCCTACTTGCTCTGAAAACGTCCACCCACGTCACCGTGACAAGCAGGATCTACCTCGCCCGACGAGTCTGCGATTTTGAAACTCGTCGATTAAACAGCTGCAGGTCTATAAGGGCCCTATAACAGAGTGACGCTGGCTTTAGGAACGTAACTGTGTGGAAATACCGTTTGTTGGCTCAGGCGCCCGATAGGCTTTTGTGTTGACGTCCACGACGCGGAGCTCACTCACGTCCGTCTGCTCTTCTCTAGCCATCTTCGCCACCATGCGGCTGCCGACATAACCGCAGCCTCCTGTCAGCACGATCACCCGTCCGGCCATGTCTGCATGTTGAATATCAAAGTACAGTCATTTGACCTATATTGTAGATAAGGACGTGTGTGATGCCTTACATAAGGACCACTTAGCAAATGAGACCACGTTTTGGTGGCCCCTTAGATATTTTTTTGTTCATTGACACAAGAATTCAGAATCCCGTTTATAATAACCAACTCCGTATCCACTGAGGCCAGATTTTATTAGTCGTCCCCCCAGTGGTCGTCTCGGGCAGTTTTGACGGCTTGGGTTCCTGCAAAATGGCCAAATCCTGAGGCAGAATGATATACTGTACAGTACCACAGGAATAGTAGCCAGTCACATGTTGGCCGCCGCAAAAATTTTAGACAATTTAAAGGTAAAGGTGAAGAAATGAAACGTAGTCCACCATTAACGTTTATAATACACTGACAAAAAGGCAGTAGCTAAGCACGTACACCATTTACACTCTGTAAATCACCTGGGTTGCCGACATGTAACATAATGGCCAGCTTTTAAATTCCATTGGCTCGTGGTGAATGGTGCGCGCGCTGATCGATCAAAATAGTCTCTACCAGACTCCATGGGTTGCTGGAAAAATTTTTCAAATTTGCCAAATAGGTGGAATAATCTACCAGAGGAGTTAGCCGACCAGATTTACCATTTCTTCGGATACTAACGGCAAGATAACCAACAATACAGTGACCAGAATAACAAGCAAAACGCTGTCTGTGCCACTACTGTTTGCTGGTGACCGTGACCTTCTTCATGCTATTGGTACGTGACTGGCGAGGTCTTCAACCTAGCCAGGAGAAGCAGTAAAATTTGGGGTCGAATCTTTGGCCATTAGAAACATCTGGACACCCGTTTCATCAACAAGTGACGACCTTTGTTATTGATCAATGCAACAAGGCCAGGAAACCGACACACGGGACGCTAGCACCGGTACATGGTCGACGCGGACCAGGCGCGACTGTATGCGAATTCAGGAGAAGGTCACGGTCGCGGTTGCCAGGTAAGATAAACAAAGGTTTGGCCCACATAAAGCATGGCGCATTTGGCCGAATCTAAATTTAAGAAAGGCATCTAATCTATATTTCTATCTTATCAGAAAGCAAGCACCTACGGTTCCTAGACGTTAAAAATTTATTACGAAAAGTTTTTTCGTGAGATCGTCGCACGATCGCAGACTAAGAATCCTTGGGATGGTGTGTCCTGCAAAATTCAGCTGTCTTGTAACGGAAAAAGATGTTGTAAATCTTTGTCTGTAGCCTGTCTCAGCCTGCTTGAAAATTCTAAGTCATCGGGACCGCATGAGTGACCGTACGGCTGCCTACGACAAACGTGAATGCGCCATAGGTAAACAGCCGATCGATCAAAATAGTCTCTACCAGACTCCATGGTTTGCTGGAAGAAAATTTGAAATTTGCAAAATAGGTGCAATAATCTACCAGAGAAGTTAGCCGACCAGATTTACCATTTCTTCGGATACTAACGGCAAGATAACCAACAATACAGTGACCAGAATAACAAGCAAAACGCTGTCTGTGCCACTACTGTTTGCTGGTGACCGTGACCTTCTTCGTGCTATCGGTGCGTGACTGGCGAGGTCTTCAACCTAGCCAGAAGCCAGCAAAATTTTGGGTCGGATCTTTGGCCATTAGAAACTTCTGGACACCCGTTTCATCAACAAGTGACGACCTTTGTTATTGATCAATGCAACAAGGCCAGGAAACCGACACACGGGACGCTAGCACCGGTACATGGTCGACGCGGACCAGGCGCGACTGTATGCGAATTCAGGAGAAGGTCACGGTCGCGGTTGCCAGGTAAGATAAACAAAGGTTTGGCCCACATGAAGCATAGCGCATTTGGCCGAATCTAAATTTAAGAAATGCATCTAATCTATTTTTCTATCTTATCAGAAAGCAAGCACCTACGGTTCCTAGACGTTAAAAGTTATTACGAAAAGTTTTTCGTGAGATCGTCGCACGATCGCAGACCAATAGAATTCTCGGGATGGTGTGTCCTGCAAAATTCAGCTGTCTTGTAACGGAAAAAGATGTTGTAAATCTTTGTCTGTAGCCTGTCTCAGCCTGCTTGAAAATTCTAAGTCATCGGGACCGCATGACCGTACGGCTGCCTACGACAAACGTGATCAAACGTTTGTCGTTTGTAGCGATAAGCAAACAGGTGTTCGAATTCACGATATCCTGCCCTGCTTATTACAGCCATGTATGTACGACAGTTTGCATGCTCTGCGTCCACTGGAACAGTTGAGATGACTTACCTGCCAGAAACTATCCAATCCGTTGGCAGAATAAGGGAAGACTGTTGAAGCCTCTGTGTTGAACCGATGTCTAATGAAATAAACAAGCTCGTGTCTTGGCACGTAGATTAAGATAACAATATTTGCCAGTCTGTTGTACATTAAACCGAGCAAATATAGCCCACAAATGGAAGGGCTAATAAATGTCGTAAATGATAACTAATAAGGAAAGTATTGTGTAAATAATTCTATGGTGGTTGGCGGTGAAGGTCAAGTTCGTTTAAAAGGCCAAGAAAGACCCCTGCTGGGATCTTAACACAGCGTACAAGTAGAACATCAATTAATTACGGAAATGAACAAGAAAAAAAATCAAAGGTTTCACCCCTCGGTGAAGCGTTTAGAGTTCTTGGGAATTTCTTAAAAAAAGGTAAACCTCCTTCTTGGTGGCACACAGCCTGTTTGGGGTTACTTAGTAATTAAGGAATGAATAAATAAAGCAATATTGCAGTGTTTGCACGATTTTGTATTTGTAAAGTCTGATTTAAATCTATTGCATAGTACATAATATGCTGTTCCACAGCATGTTGGAAATTGTACATATAAACATCTCAAGTAAATATGCAAGAAATTGAAGTATCAAGACATTGGAATGTGGGAGAATTTAAGATGTCACCTGATGTATTGCCAAGATTTTCTTTGGGTTTTGGATTTTAAAAAGTACTGCTGAGCTGGAAGATCAACATGAAAAGAGTCTGAGGAAAAAGTCTACAAACTGGTGCACACAGTTTCATGGTGAGAATATAGTCAGCTTCAAACTTTCCTCTCAGCTTTCATGATGCTAAAGGTGCTCCTTGTGCAGAGGTAGTACAGGTTTTTAGAGCATTGCTTATGCTACTGATATCAGGCTCCATGACAGAAAATATTGTTCTTACATTATGCTGCCATATCAAAATTTTATGCAAAGCTATCTACAAGCATCTATATATAAATAAGAAGTTGCCAATAAGAGTACAGAGAAATATAGCATTACGAATATTACATTACCATTATAAAGTGTATCTTTTGCCCAGAATGATACTCTACTGGGCAAGATATGTTACATAAAATTTTGTCACATGAGATTTGGGCAATGAGTTGTCATAAAACATACATCATATCTGCTGTTAACATCTGACCAAAAACTGATCTTAATCCTCAATGAAGATCACTACATGATACAGAATCACATGATTTGGATACAAATGTATATAGATAAAATCAACATATTTCATGCAAAAGCATACAAAAGCAAACAATATGCTGGTTCAGTGTTTAAATTGCACATGCACAGTGTGATGCATTATGTCACAGTTGAAGGCCCCTGTGACATAAACAAAATACATCTGGACATATATCAAGCATGGTCTAGGTAAGAGCTCTCTACAAGTTAGGGGCCTGCACATTTGACCTATGGCATGTGCATTCCAAACTGTGAAAGGGCTCATGGCAGGAATTGTAGTCTGCTGCTCTCATAGCTCATCGTGAGGTTTCCCCAGTACCCTGTATGACATGTAGCCGACTACAGGGTACTTGGCCAGGTAGACTCCCTTGTACACCTCATCCAGGGACTTCAGCTGGTCTTCTGTCAGGTCAGACTGTGGGAAAGGGGAACATACTTGCGAACATTTCTGTGGTGTCAAAGTTAGAAACATGGAAAAGAAATGTGTATATGAGCAACTTTTTAGTTCTCTCAAATGTTTACATGTCTGTTTGTTTGTCTATCTATCATAATATGTAAACAGCCTTAAGGTTCCGGGTCGGAGTTTAATTCTGACCAGAGTCTAAGTAAGTGCGCAGTAAATCGCCGGAAACGTGACTTTGTATGGTATGTTTTGGCCGCGATATCCCTGAAATCGTAATATCTGTGTACATATCTTTGTATTTTCTGAAAAGCCTGTTAGTTGTAGCCTTTATAGGTGGCGTAATGTTGGTGGTCCAGCTAAGACTTCCTGGTATTCGTCCGCGCGGATGGTTATGTGGCCTTTTCGCCTGACCGCCGGGATGGTACGTTCTATATGCGTTCTGGGTGTGTTCGGGCCATCGAACATAGCGATAAACTTATCGCATCGATTTTAATTAAATTCAAATTTTGGAAACATTAGGTTCTGAGCTTCTTCGAGTACTAAGCCGTTACCCTGGGAAAATTCGTTTTTTCCATGCAGCCATGGTTAAAAATGACGAAAAAAATGACCCCTTTTTTCAAAATGTACTTTGATGGGCCTCATTTACCCCTAAATAAATTGGGCGCAGAAAATATCAATCAAGTGTATTGATAAGCGGCACGGCACCCCTTTCCACCAAAAGAGTGAAAAATTCCGACCCGCGTTTAGTACAGAAATGACAGCCCGTCGGGCTGAGGGTGTCAAATTGCTCGAAATACGGAGGGAAACTCCGGTCCGAGACCTTAAGGTGCCACAAAACAGTTTGATAATACACAAGATAAAGACCTGGCCTAATGAACTATTTCTGCATATTGACTTGTAGAGACTAATGTCATTTTCCGTAATCAAAATACATATACAGTAGATGTAGATAATGTGTGACTTCTGCACCTGTGATATGGAACAGGCAGTACACTTCTCTCTCTAGCAATGTTATGCTTACTATGTCAGAGTTCAGGTCCTCCGGTTCCAGGGACCACTTGGCCACAGCTCTGGTACAGTCCTTTCCTGCAAGTGCATTGTACCCTCCCGCCTTTCCGTAGAAGTCTGGAAAAGTTCAACACAGACCAACTTTAACGTAATAGAGATATCCAGGAGTAAGAAGACAGCCAACAAGATAACAATATTTGTGAGTTTGTGACAGGTTAATAAATTCAGATACCTTTTCCTGATGTGACGTCGAACACAACTCCCTTCACAGCCATGTAGATGGGTTGGCTTTCCTAAGGTGAAAACAGGCAAAAAAAAAAAATGAACAAACAAACAGATAAAGGACACTAACATAATTTGTTGGTATTGATGAACATTCCATTACTAATCTGTTGTTTGTGCACTTTGTCACAGTACTACCTGCAGCTAGAATAGAATGAAAGAAGGTATGGGCATATGCAAAGAGGTTTTAATACTCCTTTAACTTTACCAGTTCTTAAGCATGAAAAACTCTTAATTCTGACATAGCATATGGTCAATTCACATTATTCATGTTTGCTTTATATGTTAGCACAGCTGGGCAAACTGTTACCCTCCCAATATATATACCTTGATATATGATCCAACTGAATAATGATTTGTTACATCAAGGAGGCTAGGTTATAACCTCTTTGTTTAAATGAATTGGCTTTGAAGATTTGATTCTTTTGTCCTCCCACGACGATTTATTGATTACGTGTTCATGATTTACTTTTATCACAATTTGCCAATGTAGTTAGTACTAGTATAATATGTTTCTACAATATTGAAACTTATTTCACTTGTATGTAATTTTAAGACCTCCTAAGTTTGTATTAGGTCAACTTGTTATATGCTCCTTCGGCGATAAGCCCAAGGGCCATAAGGGTTACTCATAGATATCTATATATGCTTGATAAACAAATAAGTACATGTAAAATTTCATGTAGTGTATGTGCTGTCCTAGAACTACTACAAGTAGCTAGTAGAAGTCCTTGTCCTCCCCATATACTTACATCTTCTCCACTGTATCGAGCGATGTCCTCCTTCGTAAAAACACGGAACGGCTTGTCTCCCTGCGTCTCCAAAAACTCAACGGCTGGGTCTGGTGGATCTGTAGGCCCATCTGAGGAGACAAAACCCAACAAAACTGCTAGAACCACCAGCACAAAGTTTATCTTTTCCGCCATGTTGGTGACCTATCTGACGCAAAATGTTATACGGTATTTCATTGGCTGTCTTATGGATCTATTTAGCAGATCAACCAATGAAAAGGCGTTTAACATAACGCTTCATCAGCTGATTCGGGTGGTCATGTGACTGGGTGGGTACAGGAAGGCGACTTTTTGAGAAACGAATTTTTGCCGACACCCTTGCGGAATCCGGCGACATCTGCGATGGACAGCCAAGGGAGGAAAGTTATCGTCTGCGACAACGGGACAGGGGTGTGTGTGCTTCACTTGTATCTCATTTTGGTTAGGATTTTCCGAAAGGAAACGGCGATAGAGGCTCCAGAATGTCGGATACTAGCGAAGCCTAAAGGGGGAGGGTCAACTTCCGCATTGATATATTCGTTCTCTTGCCAGAAATTAACTTATTCAGAGTCACTGTTTCTTCTTCATCTTGTGTCTATAAGTATGAAGCCTTCGCTTTTATTTTATAAGTTGTGTTGTTTGTTATGCAGTACTGTCGAAGTTGTCGAAATTTGCTGGGGAATTTAAAATGGGGAGGGGGGCATTTTGAGAGGAACAGGAAGTGTAAAACTATCCTCAGACAAACAGCAAGAAAATCTGCACAGTGAAGTCACATAACCTCAGCTTGGTTACACAAAACGCCACCTAGAGTTAGCCCAGAAGTCGTGCATGTATGGATTATCGTATGTTTTGTTTCCTGGCCAGTTCGTGAAGTGCGGCTATGCAGGAGCCAACTTCCCGGAACACATCTTCCCCTCCATGGTGGGGCGGCCCATCATCAGATCATCCGCCAAGATTGGCGACATCGAAATCAAGGTAAGCAGGCGGTGAAAAGACTATAGAACAGTGACGCATTGTCACAAGTTAACATGTCACAACCTACATTGATTTTTAATTTGTGTTGCTGGCAAACCAGACCCATAACAAAAAAAACTACAGGAAACATCCTCAGCTCAACTCAATCAACACTTCCTATGTTTTCTTTCTAGACTTCACTAGATTTTGTAAACCAACATCTGCTTGAAGATTACTCGTATCTTTCTAGTGATGTCACAGGAAAATGCTGGGTCATTGCAGATTGTCTTCTTTGTGTATCTTGGTTTCCTCCCCCATTTGCTGGTCTTGTCTAGAGCACAGATTTTTTTCAGCAAGTTTGCCTAGTGACTGCACACTACACCTGACCTTTGTACTCTACACTGTTCAATTGTTACAAATGTCAGAGACACTAACTTCTGTAACTTGCATGCAAAGTCTGGCTGGAAACTATAGAATAATTCTTATGGTAAAATGTTGTCTTTGTCATGCTTTTATTTCTAGTCTTTGGAGCTAGTGATATTTTTGCTTCCTAACAGTAACACTGTAACCAACACAGATTTGGTGGACACTCTGGCAAGGAAAGGATTAACTGTTTGTGTGTCTAATCATGCATGGCAGTGAGTTAACATTGTCTCCCATGTTAAATGCTATAACATTTAACATGCCTGAAAACCTTGAGCAGACAAGCCAAGCACTTTACAAAAACTATGAATGTAAGTATGTAGCAGAATGTTAGTCCTCTAGCTACTGCTTGCATGGCGTACTGCTATCTGTTGTAGACTGTGTTAAAGACGGTGTGCAAATAATTTGTGCTCTTCTCTCTACCCTCTGCACTCTGACTTGTCCTGTACCTGTTTACAGAAGGTATGCTTGACCAAGTTGACGTCATGGTCACTCACAGGTTTCAACTAGTAGGATTACAGTTGAAATCTTTCTTCATCCGGTTTCAACTAAGTTTTCTTAGGAAAGGGTTCATGTCTTGCGACTTTACTATAGGTACCTAAAATACAATTCCTGCAGTGTACCAAAGCATGCATGGCCCTTAAACAGTGCTCTTGTTGTGTTGTGTCAGATGAAAACGAGATGAAATTATCCTTTTAAGCATTATAAAGTCATTAATTTAAATTCACATCATGTATGTAAGATTAACTACACTGTGCAAAATCAATGGCAGCATCCTTTGCTTCAGCAGAAACTTGTTTCAAATTTCCAAAATTTTTATAACATCCAAAATTGCAAGCAACCTGAAGATTTATTTCAAGCCCCGCAGTTTCTTACAAGATGACTCATTCTTCTCCTTCTAGGACCTGATGTTGGGAGATGAGGCGAGCGAGCTGCGGTCCTACCTGGAGGTGAACTACCCGATGGAGAACGGGATCGTGCGCAACTGGGACGATATGCTGCACCTGTGGGACTACACCTTCGGGGAGCAGAAACTCCAAATCAACGCACCGGACGCCAAGATCCTCCTCACAGAACCCCCCATGAACCCGGTTAAGAACAGGGAAAAGATGGTGGAGGTACTGGAAATTTGTTTATTTTTGCTGGGACTTTGGCTGTGGAAGGTGAAAGGTTTCCACAGTGTTTTCAATTTTTACATGGAAAAAGTCTGTATTACAGTTGTAATGTCAGGAAACACATATTTGCAGTGTCTTGATTTCGCACAATTTCATGAAGCCACAGGTGAAAACTAAACCACCATGAACAAGATTTATAGTACTTGAACATTTTACCTGTGCATATCTAAGGTGCAGTTCTCAAATCAACTGCAAGGTGGCACTCCATCTCATTGCAAGGTAAGCTGACAGCCCAACAATGTTTGTCTTTGTTCCAGGTCATGTTTGAAAGGTACCAGTTTGAGGGTGTGTATATAGCCATCCAGGCTGTCCTCACCTTATATGCACAAGGTATGCTCCACTGACTTGAATAGCTGTGTAGATTCCTTTGTCTGCTTTCCTTCAGATTTAAAAAAAATATCTTTTAAGTCACTTAAGCAAGTTTCAGTAGTTTAAATTCGATTAAACTCCATTTAATGTTTGCAGATTCACCCAGAGTGCCAATTTAAACAAGAGGTGCCAACAGTTTTGAGGTATTTTCAGCACTATAAGCATGAATATCTGCAGATTGTAGCTTTGCCTGATGTTGATGTGTTTTTGTCCCACCCTCCCAGGGCTGCTGACGGGTGTTGTGGTGGACTCCGGTGACGGTGTGACTCACATCTGTCCGGTGTACGAAGGTTTCGCTCTCCCACATCTCACACGGCGACTTGACATCGCAGGCAGGGACATCACAAGATATCTCATTAAGGTAGTCTGTCTCTATGTATACTTATGATGGGTCGTTATTGATATTGATCACGCAGGCAGACGGTTGTCTTGACTGATTGAAGCTGTGAAATCCAGTACTCGAACCAACAAGAACAGAACAGTGTCCGTTGTATTTTAGACCAAGGATGAACTCGTTGTGAAATTGGTTTCATTTATTTGAATAACTACAGGTGCTCAGTAGGGGTACTTTTACCTTTGATGCCCGTTAGGTTCTGTTGCAGAGAAGCAATGAGATGATGAAAATCTTATGCCAATCTGTGTCTGGGCTTCTGAACAAACACTGATGGATGTTTGAGTCCTGATCATTGCTTCATGGATGCTAACGACCCAGATGTGTAGCACGCTGAAGTCTTGTTTTTTAAAGAAGTTTCTTTATTTCCAGTTGCTGCTACTCAGAGGGTATGCCTTCAACCACACAGCAGACTTTGAGACAGTTAGGATGATGAAGGAGAAATTGTGCTATGTTGGGTGAGTAGTCAAGTTGACTTGAGAAGTACTCCATGTCCAGGCTTCTGAATCACCTGATGATATGCTTTGTGACTCTTTTTCTGTGGACAATCTGTCTACATTGATTGTTTGACTTTGCTTGGTTGACATTTTTTACTTTTTCCTTCACACCAACAGCTACAACATAGAGCAAGAGCAGAAGCTTGCCCTGGATACCACTGTTCTGGTGGAGTCATACACGGTAAGTGTTGATATTCCACAAGTAGTATATGTAGGGCTGGGTACCAGTGCTCTGCACATGTAAAATTCTTCAGGTTCAGATTCAGGTACGGACAAACCTGAATGGGTTACCAGTTGTGTTTTAAACGTGAACATGTTTGTGTATTTTAAGACGACAGAAAAGACATGGCTTCTAGAATGATGATTCAATTGGTGAATTCTGTATGACACTTTGTGTGAATACAAACTTGCTAACTGACTAGAGCACAGCCATGTAACAGGACATTCCAAAGCTGAACTCCATATTTCAGTGTCTCTCAAACAGTATGAATGAAATGTTTTTATATCTACAGGCCCATGTACCCTGTCTTAAGTATTACTGTGTCAATTGTTGCAAAATGTCAGTGAGCATCTGAAACTTCTGTAAATGTTGGGTATTTTTGTCTTAATGAATTGATAGCAATGTAGTTTCTAACTGACAGTGTGTGTTCAGTCTATGTAGTAATGTTGTATATTACTTAGGTATAATTACATAACTGGCATGCTGATTTGGTAATGTTTGGTGTTGATGTGTCCCTGCACAGTTACCTGATGGCCGTGTGATTAAGGTGGGAGGGGAGCGGTTTGAGGCTCCGGAGGCGCTGTTCCAGCCTCACCTGATCAACGTGGAGGGGGTGGGGGTGGCCGAACTGCTCTTCAACACCATCCAGGCCGCTGACATAGACACCAGGTCAGACACGGCAGAAACAGTTGTTTCCTAAAACTATTATAGGGGTATCCTCATTATACATCTTCGAACTATGCTTGTAGTTCGAGGTCTAAAGGTAAGGCATGATAGGTCATTCAGTGTAATATGGCCAGCTTAACTCGCAATACTGATACAGGGAAGCAATGAGATGATGAAAATCTTATGCCAATCTGTGTCTGGGCTTCTGAACAAACACTGATGGATGTTAGAGTCCTGATCATTGATGCATTTTTTTTTTTTTGTCAATGAATAAATTATTATTTCCTCAGGCCTGAGTTCTACAAGCACATTGTGTTGTCAGGCGGGTCCACCATGTACCCCGGCCTGCCCTCCAGACTGGAGAGGGAGATCAAGCAGCTCTATCTGGAGAGGGTGCTGAAGGGAGACACCACCAAGCTGTCGGTAAGTGAACTGCAGGGGGTTGAACATGAATTGTTTGTATGATGACTGAATAAGAGAATGAGAGAGTCAGTATCTGAGCATGCATGCTCAAATTTGTCTCTTGCACCAATGCAACAGTTAATACAAAGCGTGCTTCTTTTTGGATGGACCAGGAAGAATGGGTTAGGAATTTGGTTTCAGGTTTTTCCCCTCTGTTGTATTTTATTTTCTTATTGTTCTTATTTTGTTTGTTTTTTTGCTCTACATACTAATTCAAATTTTTTGTTCTCTTGCCTTCATCTTTCTGTGCTATTTACTAACATTTTCACCATGGCAACTGCAGTCTTTCCTTGTTTTTTCCCCGGGTGGGGGAGGGTGAACTCCTGGAACAGCCCTACCTTGCCCAGGGGTCAGTTCTTTTCATCCCCAGTAGATACCTGTTGACAAACTCTTGTTGCAGCTCATTTACTCCAGTGATAAGCAGGATGGAATAGTCTTCCTTTTGTTGAAAGTTGAACAGTACATCTTTTCATGCTAAGCCCCCCTCGGCACTGGGTGTGCAGGCCTGGGAGTTACGGGGTCATCTTTCCATGGGGAGAAGCACAAACGGTTGTGTTGTTTCGCAGCTGTAGGGATGTAACCCCGACCACTATATGTACAGGTGATAACACAACTATCGGAGCTGTCGTCTGGTCTGGGGAATAACCACTTAAACAAATCATACACAGTGGGATAACAAAAAGGCTATGGGACTACTTTTTACATTTTTGGGGTCAGGGAAGCAATGAGATGATGAAAATCTTATGCCAATATGTGTCTGGGCTTCTGAACAAACACTGATGGATGTTAGAGTCCTGATCATTGCTTCATACCATAGTTTTCCTGACGAAATCCTCAAAACACTGCTGCTATGGCAAACCGTAAGAAAGAAAGTAGTTGTAGTTGAAAATGCATAATTTTCTCAACACAAGTTAAGAAACAATGTTATATCAATTCTAAAAGCTGCATTATGTTCTCTGCAGAAATTCAAGATCCGTATCGAGGACCCCCCTCGGCGGAAGCACATGGTGTTCCTGGGAGGTGCCGTGCTGGCTGACATCATGAAGGACAAGGATGACTTCTGGATGACCCGAGCGGAGTATCAGGAGAAGGGGCTCAGGTGTCTGGAGAAGCTTGGAGTAGCTGTGTCGTAACAAGACTTCTTTATCATACCCAACCCATCTGTACAGTACCAGTTAAGGTTCATGGTCCCCACAGGAGGCATATTTCAGGGTGCGAAATACTGCCTGCATGTACAGGTTAGTGCAGGTCAAATTGAAACTGTCTACCTGCCCAACCTGCACCAGTCGAAAGTAGCATCCAGTTTTATTTAAGATGGTCCGCATTTGATGTTTTTTTTTCTTGTGGACTGAAAGGCAAAATAAATTGAGTTCAGATCAAATTTGTTTGGTGCAGGTGCAGGAATGAGTATTTTGAGCCCTGATATCTCTATGGTATGTTCATACTTCTAGTAAGCAGGATAGCCATGTTTTTATACACCAGAGGCTCAGAGCCAAAAGCAGCTTCATATGTGTAATCAAAACGATACGGTTTCAGACACATCTTACCCCCATCTGTCCACAGCTAGTTAGCATGCTCAGGAGAAAATTTCCAGGTCAACTTCTTGAGGTTGTAGGTGAAGACCAAGTTTGTCCTCAATTTGCTGGTGAGGACTGATGTTAGAACAATGATTCATTCAGGTACAGGAATACCCAACAAAAGATGAGGCTACCCTAATCCATTCCCTTGGTTCTGGTACATTTTGAAGCAAAAATCAAGCAAGAAGTCTATATGAAAACAGAAGACAGTTCAAGACTGGTAGAAAAATTTGGATCTGGGTGTAGCAACACCCCAAAACTGAGTGCACCAAGGCATGAACTTGGTCTCCAGCCAGATTTTTCTTTCATGTTGTTCTTTCACTTCAGCATTATCATTTGTAGGTATCAGAACCAACACTGTTAATTGGTGTGGCCATCGTATAAATTGTCTTCCATTGTCAAGAAGATGGTACTGCTGTAGAAAGCTTGATCTGGTGATGTTTCATGTTGATATTTTAATCACTAGTAAGACGAGGTGCTGGTGAATGTGTAAGATGTAGGATTTAAGTTTTGTCACTGGCTGACAAGTGTGCAAGTTAGTCTTAACTTCAGTACAAGTAATGTTGTTGAAGCCGAAGCACATCTTGAGAAACATGTCTTAACAGAAATGATACTGATGATCTGAGTGTGTTACCTGCTTTGTCAGGCACATCACGTGGAGTTGTGACTTGAGCTCTCGTGGCATGTAAGAATTTTTTCAGAAACGGAGCAGGGTAAGAAATAGCGTATGATAGTAATTCTGTGCTTACACTGACAGCTTTGAATTGATAGGCAAAACTTAGTAGTACCGTCAATATGTTCTATACCAGTAATAATTCAGTGTATGAATTTTTTACTCCTACTGTTGAAAAGATGCCAGTGAATCAATCTGGTTGCAGTATGGTCTTAGTAAGGTACTTGTAGATGTGACTTGGGTGGTCATGTCATTGTAATAATGAAATGGTAGGTCACTACTTTAATATGATCTATCTAAAATTGCCATTTGGAGGAAGCAGATGTTCATTCCAGTATATTGACTAGGGAAAACTTGCAGTAGGGAGGTTGTTTGATTCCTTTCCTCACAATGAAAGATTTTATATATCTATATATGTATGTATACACTGCTATCACTTCAGATATTCAGGTCTGGATTAAAAGTGTCATAAATACTTAGTCTGATTCTTGGCTTAGATTGTTCATATTTTGTTGGTTATTATAAACGTTCTCATTTGAATCTAGCATGATATCCAAACCTATTATAGCCGCAGAGTCTCTTGTTAAAAATTTTAGCACATGACAAAGGACACTTGGCAGCTTGGCCACACACACACACACACACACACACACACACACACACACACACACACACACACACACACACACACACACACACACACACACACACACACACACACACACACACACTCACTCACTCACTCACTCACTCACTCACTCACTCACTCACTCACTCACTCACTCACTCACTCACTCACTCACTCACTCACTCACTCACTCACTCACACTCACTCACTCACTCACACTCACTCACTCACTCACTCACTCACTCACTCACTCACTCACACTCACTCACTCACTCACTCACACACTCACACACACACTCACACACTCTCACACACTCTCACACACTCTCACACACTCTCACACACTCTCACACACTCACACACACTCTCACACACTCACACACTACCTAGGTTTGACTCTGATTTAGATCTGTGGGGAAACTCCTGGCCCTCAGTGAGGGGTGGGAGGGATGCTACTTGTTGGCTCACCAGGATGGGCTATACCAACACAGCAGGGGTGATGACAGATGGGTCATTTATCTACTGAACACTAGCAGGTGTCTTCTCAGAGGGTCCTTCTGGCATTCATAATTAACAACAGGTGCATGTTTTGCTTTATGTGGAATTTCTCCTTGTTTTGTCAATTCTTTTTGCATCTTCATCATAGTACGTGGCATCTGTCAATTGGGATCCTTGGAGGATGAAATGTCCCTGTTATCCAGCCATGTTCGTTTCTAACCATCCTCTCTTAGCAGCAGTGTAGTTAGAAGCGGAAGAAATTAGAAATACACCTGCATTCAGGCCAACTTATAGTACAAGATGTACAATATTGAAAAATGAAATCCAAGACTGAAATACCAGCTGACACTACCAAAACAAAATCTTCATCCAAAGACGTACACCTCTTCTCACCTTGTCCTAGTTTACGTAGTCAACTGTCCTACATCTAAGTACCCGACCTTTCCAGCGTCAGTGGTGCGGCCTGCCTCTGGTCTTTACTCCTTTTGTATTTTGCCAGAGGTGGCTCAGACACAGACGTTAACAAGTGGGCCTTTTATACATGGGAACTGACCGTCTCTGGCTGTGTGGAGACCTTGCACAACTCTCAGGGACTAGCCGTGGTTCGCATGAAGAATGTTTCACTGGCATGGGTGCTTAGTAACCAGCCAGGCAAGTCAGCCTCCAGTGAGCCACCTAACCCACAGACACTGGAGAGGACTGTAAGAGAACACTTGGACTAATCGGGTCCAGTTTGGGTTTGTTATGAATTACTATTCACAACAAAATACTAATCCTGCGTTATGTTTTCACTGCTGTAACACCTGTCCCAGCTTGGGGAAATAAAGACGTGTACTGTGGAGATGGGGATAATGATAGGAGGGGGTAAAACGATCTGACACGACCCCTCTTTACTCCATTAACTTCCCCCATCTCGGACTACCCTATCATAACATCAATTGTGCTGTTGTTGAGAGGTTCCTTCAGGATTTCTGAATCCAATCCAGGCTTCCCAGTCCCATTTTGTGGAGGTGATGACAACATTGAATCCCCAGCAGCTGGCCAACTATTTCAGCCTCAGTCTGACACACCACACTCATCCCTCAACAAGGAGGTGGAATTTTCTTACTTGCTAAATTCCTTATACTAAGTATTTGTCTTGAAATGAATGAACTTCAATGAAGAGACAGATTTAGAGTACAAGTTTTTCCCTTGATGTGAGGTCTTGTTCTCCAAGCAGATGTGTGGTGAAGGCTCATTTTTTAAACCTTCAGGACACAGGCCTTGAAGTCCCTTTTTTGTTTATTTGTTTATTGGTTTGGCTGATACAAGACAGCCAGGGCAGCCCAACTAGCTAGAAGCTATTACTAAGGGCATGCCCTGGGAAAAAAATGTGGTTAAATACATAAATTATGGTCATTAATATATACAGATTACATATGATACAATTAAATTATTACATACTATACGATTGGTGCAAATAGAATACTAGTACATGTGTGTGCTGTCTTATACAGAAAACTGGTCTCCAAGGGAGAGCCATACTTTAGCTTTGAATAATGCTAGGGATGGAGCTGTCTGGGTGTCCTGTGGAAGAGAGTTCCACAGTTGGACGGACCTGTAGAAGAAGGTTTTTTGTGTTCTGACACTTTTGGGGGCTAGCGAAGAAAGGTTATTTGCGTTTATAAGGGAATATCTAGATTCAATGGCAGATGATCTGTTGGTATGTAGGAGACTGAGAAGATGGGGGGGACAGTGTCCGTTCATCAGCTTATAGAGGGCAGTCAGAGTGTGAAGTTTACGGCGAAAGGTAAGAGATGGGAGACGTAACTGAGAGTAGACGGAACGGTAGGACGGGTACGGAATGCCATGGTGGCCACTGATCATTCTGGCTGAGCAATACTGGACAGCTTCAAGTAGCCTCTGGTCACGCAGTGTGAGACCTGCCCATAGAATGTCCGCGTATTCCAGAACAGGTCCCTTTTTTCTGCATACATGCACTGGTGCAGGTGGCATTCAAATTTACTATCCCCACATAAATTTACTTGCACCATATGTCATTCAGCAGGCAATTCATTAATTACTCTTCTCAATATGTGTGGTGGGTTCTTTAACATACTCAAGATGTTGCTCTCCTGAAACTTGTTCCCAGTAAACCAAAACTAGGCACTGACTGAAGTGAGGAAATTCGTGTAAAGTGCCTTTCTCAAGAGCTCACTTTGGGCGTGTCACTGTGTGTGTATCAGGGATTTGAACCCAGAACCTCTGGATACTGGAACCGCCACCCTATAAACCACAAGGCCAGCCAATGCCGGTAAAGATATCCACAGTCCGCCAGGCTGCAGTGTAACAGAGCAATGCCACCCACATGAGTTTTCAAACAATGTCCTCTTCATGTTCCGAACTGCTCCCAACAGCATCGCCGAACAGACGTCTATGATTTATAGATTGTCCTCAGCGACTCTTTTAACGTTTTCTTAAGTATGGTGCAAGGGCTAAATATTTACACGTCAATCTGCTGTAGCCTTGGCTGCTGTAACCTGCCAGTATAAACTATTACTGCTGCCAACGCGGGGAGTATCGGAGTATAGGAAAATAGTCTGAATAGATGGGGTGTTAGAACAGGCCACTCCAGAATCTGTACAGCCAAACCTGTACAAGTGACCATCTCCACATAAGAACCAACAAGCATTAAGAATCCTTAAACCGCCTATTCACATGGACTTGTCAGTAGTATTGTGGCTATCCAGTCATTTTGCAATTTGATATTAGACATGCCAGATGGAGGTGGCTAGTCTTACTTTGGTCATTAGTTTGTCTCAAATATTTATCTTTATTCTTTCACCTAATCCTTGTCTGTCTAACTCTAATCTTTGTTTGACACTACCTGAACAAAGGGGCCTCCTATATGTTGTGTTCACTTTGCTTGGTAGGGTGTGACTGACAGTACAATAGAGATTTCCATTTGTTCCAAGGATGAGACCTTCATCTACCTTCCACCCAATCCTGTCACCACTTGTCATCCTAGCTAGCATGAGACATTCACCTGTACATGCACTACCTCCGACCCTTTAGCTGTCAGCACCTGTCATATCTTCCCAAGCTGTACTGCATTTTCTCTCTGCTTACATGTAATTCAACAGAGTTCTTCCATTGTTCCCAGCTAGGATGAGACCTTCACCTACTACCTCCCACCCCCTTCCTGTCAACACCTGTCACCGCTTCCCAAGCTGTTGAGAACATTCAGGGTTCTCTGAGGATGTCTGTGGCTAATTACGTGTGACTGTACAGGGGCAGAGGGCACATTCCTGCAGCAGCCTGGGTCAATCTAAAGTGACCATTTGTCCTGCCCAATTAAGTGGCTGGCCACACTTTAGTATCACTATTACAGGAGATGTTTTGTCAGGGCCAAAGTGACCAGACTAGATCATTAGCTGCAGTTGTTGGTCCATCCAACTAACCGTTTCCTTATATCAGTGATTTCTCTTATTTTTTACAGGGGTTTAGCACTATTGCTGTGGTACATAGTGTGTCTATTGTGTATCCCATTCACTTTGTAGTAACATTGATAATCATTACAGCATTTTCACCTGGATTATACTTTTTCATAGAAGGTTGGAGAGGTGAGGTAGGCTGAATCAATTTATCTAGGCTGAGTTATCTAATAAATTAGAATTCTGCAGTATAAAGAGGGACAAGGTCACACAAACTTGATTTCTTAGTTCTCAGATTTTTTGCAGAAAATTAATGTAGTGGACATTTCTTTCTTGAAGTTAGACAAAGTTAAAGCAGGCACAAACAAGAAGCTTATGTGTAATATTAATCGCCTGTCTTGACAATGTACAATGACTTGTACAATGGAATCTGTTGTTGTAAGATGCTCAACCTGGTGGGGGGAACGTCCTGCAAACTCAGGGAGCTTCATGTAAACCCAGCTTGTCTTCTTCATCCTTCAGTGCCAATGGCTAATGCCCTGCTGAAAGAACTAAGCAAACAGATGCACAACTTGGCTGGGTCTGAAGGAGGCCTTCTCACCAGGGTGACACCTGGTTTGCAACTAGACTACCCCCCAGTTGAGCAAGTCCCTTTTGGGAAGCAACAGGAATAAAAGTCAGTTTGTCTGTTGCTACAGCAGAGCTGGTTTGGGTACAGCTTCCGCTATTTCTGGATTAGCCACAGGATAGACATTCATGCCCGTAGCCAGGGGGGGTTCGGGGGTTCGGAAGAACCCCCCCACAACTTGGCACAAGGCTCAAAGGTCCACTTTTTGGTCCACTTTTTATGTAAAGGTCCACTTTTTGGTCCACATTTTATGTAAAGGTCCACTTTTTGGTCCGCATTTTATGTAAAGGTCCAAGATTTTTCTTGAAAAGATGGACTGAAATCGTAGAAAAACTGCTCCCTTTGTCATTAAATAAAATTTATCTCTGATTTTTTCTTGGAAATCCTCTCAAAAATGCACGAAATGCCATTTTAGAAGGTTTATTTTTCAAAATTTTCCGGGGGAGCATGCCCCCGGACCCCCCTAGGAACCTCGCGCCTTCGGCGCTCGCCTCGCGCCTACGGCGCTTGAGGTCCCCTCAAGCAGTGGGAAGAACCCCCCCATTCAAAATCCTGGCTACGGGCATGACATTAGCATGGAAATGTAGTGAAAATACGGGGTCTGAACCAGTGATAACGTTACAGCAAATACAAAATGTAGTCTGGAATCTCTGGATCTATGCTCTTTACACATTATTCTGTCTGTATAGCCGGTATAACCGCTCTTCGGCGTAGCACACCAGCTCAGTCACATGACAGAGTTTCTATCTGAACTATAACATCATAGAAAAGCTTAGGAAACCACAAAGTAGCCTGACTACAAAGGGCAGAGGCTATGATGACCAACAAGCAACAGAAGATGCTGAAGTCTCCCAGAGTGAGTCAAGCAGGTACAAATGTCATATTAAACTCCATTGACATTTGTCGGCCAGGTTACATAAATCTGTGAAAACAGTATGTATGGCAGATCTCTAGTGCAGTATTGGAGATTTGTTTAGATACATTTGTTAGGGTTATGAATATATGACCTGGCAGAATTATATTCAGTAGGCGTAATAGACATTATTAAATGGTTCATCAGGTTGGTAGATCATAGGATATCAGAACACAACCATGTACTTTTTTCAACCACATTTTAGCGGTCCTTCTGCTACCTTCCCTACTGTGTTGACTTGCTAGTTCTTCACCGTTAGGTGGCGCTGAGAAAGACACATAAACAGGTGTTATGCCCCATCCCTGTCCCCCCCGTGGCTTGAGGTAAACAGACGCTCTGAATTGTTACACCTGTGATTTTAGTACAGGTGAAACCATGTAAGTTAAGGCCAATTATCTCACATGGACAGGTGCATTGTAATTACCTGCGTCATGGGTGCCATAGAACACACTGCACTGATTTTTCCTGATAATGAAGCACAGAGGTAAAGGAAAATAGAAAAACAACTTTTGTTTTGTCAGCAAATGTAAAGGGTGCCAGGACATTACATCAAACAAAAGACTCAAATGTAAGGGTGTCACAATGACCTATTACACTTACAGGCAGTGGTTTCTTTGCCTACAGTACCCTGCATTTAGGACAGAGGGTGCACCATTTCCCACGGGAAAATGTCTCCTCAGACCTGCCTAAATCTGAACCTCTGTGTCTGTGTTTACTGACAATTGTAGGAATGATTGTACCTCATGTATAGGTGTGTTGTATTGACCTATTTTCACTCCCCCCTCTCCACCCTGATGTTTGTTGACAGAGAAGAGATGGTCCAGTTGTTGGTTATGAAAGACTGGGCAGGCTCTGTGTTTGCTTCTGTGCTGCAGGTCTCATGTTACAGTGTTTGTGCTGGGAGCTAATTATAAAGTTGGAAGGGTTGACTGTTTGCTCCTGTCTCCTAAGTGCTACTGTGTGTCACCATATTCAAGATTTGATGTTGAATATCAGTACAAGAACCTTATTTTTATAGAAGCAGTTATAGTTTTAAATCCTATACAGATTTAGTACCTGGCACATCCTTAGTCTTTGATAAGTTTTTAAAACTATATATATACCTTGATATCATCACATGAATCAAGTGGCACCTTGCAGTAATCAGTTACAATCATTCACATTAACACGTTTGCTTTAAAGATATTTCAAATTTATTGCTCTTTCTGCTCAAAATGTACAAGCATAGTAGAGAATAAATACATTGGTAGAAAACAGGACCTCTCCTTCTGGATGCTATACATAGCCCATTCCTCCACAACTGGTACACAAATGTAGGAGTTTTTACGCACAAAACAGCGTTTTCCTTTGAATTCTGCTTACCGACAAAAACTCTTCTTCACAATGAACTGTCATGGAAACCATATTCCTATTGTCATATTCCCTGATACTAATGGCATGGCAATATTCTTCATAGGATTAGAACTTTTCTGTGTGTTACATGTTCAGACATGGTCAGACAAAAATGTAGACAAAATTACCGGATGTCTCCTTGTTAGACATTATTACACAACTGGGAAAATATTTGCCAGGGATCCACTATACATGTCTGACAACATTTGGTTTAATATGCAAGTTTTGAGACAGGATCATTCTTCCTGCTTGTGCCTTATGTAGGAAGGACAGTACATCACTAGTATCTTACACCACATCCTTTCAGTCACAATAAATTAGAAGAGCCTTCTCTATAGAATAAATTACACTGTACAAGTCTATGACAAGCTGACCTACTAAATATTTAAAACAATATTTAGAAGCCAGTCTACATTGCTTCCTGATTCTGCTAAAACTCTGCATAGACAGAAGGGCTTACAAGAGAGAATGCTGGAAGTATATCTTACAAATAAATACATCTTCAATTTCTACAGCACATAGTGTACACCACATTCTTAATGCAAAAGCATCCAGACACCTTTAACAAAAAGTCCATGATAAAATTACACATCAACAGAAATTTTCACTTGCTTTGGAGGTCCTGTGCTTTGCACAGAGTAAAAAATAAATTCTTGTGCCAGCAGTGGTAGAAGCACTTCTGAAATATTTGAAAGGTATACGAGATGGCAGGCAAAGGACTCTTTGAAGTGTGCGTTGCTTCTGCATGTTGAATGCTTTCCCTATAAATTTATGCTGGGCAGCTGGCATGATTTTGTCTCTCTGTACAGTAAATTTGCATTGTTCCCATTGAGAAGTGCTTTAGAAGCACACTACAATTTACACGATGTGATCACACATTTGTTACAGGTGGTGCTCCTGATCCCAGACTTACAATGGACTTTAACTGTACAAATGCTGGTAGAATTTACCTTAAGATAGGCGCTACATTCAAGCCTTTCCTTGGAGGAGTTTCACACTTATGTTTCTTGTGACGGCACATGTGGGCAGTGTGTTTCACTGCTCTGTTTCTACTTAAAGCTCTCCCTACTGTTGACGTGTCAATGAGTTGCAGTTTCTCTATATATAATATATTACGTCAAGTGTTTATGTACAAGACTAGGGTGAACCAGGTCAGAGGTCACACGGGGTGAACCAGGTCAGAGGTCACACAGGGCGAACCAGGTCAGAGGTCACACAAGGAGCACCTGATGAGCCTGACCACATCCCTCATTTGTCCTGGCTCTCTCCCAGCAACCATCCTCAGCTGCACCACACATAAGCAGCATCTTTGCTACAGTCCCATTGCAACCGGTGGCCGCCCGCCTTTTCTCCCCCCACAACCACACACACATCACACGTGTTGCACTCCCGGGTCCCTCATACTGTAGTACCCGCTGACCCGCGTGGGCTCGATGTCGCTCCAATGTCTCCTCTCCACTTCCACTTTCACCCCGTTTTTGTGGTCGACGTACACGACGCTGGAGTCCTGCAGCCCCCCGGCGGTTCTCCGCGGCTGGGGGGGTGTCGATGACTTGAAGACGACCCTGCCCATTCTTCTCTTGGCGATGATGACCGACACGACGAACAGCAAGGCGAGCGCGATGATGATGAGGGCGATCGGAAGAACCACGGCCAGAGTAGGGAAGCTTGGCGCTTCAATACCTCCCATCTTATTGGCATCTGGGATCTCATTGCTCATTTCTGCAGAAGACACAAGAAAAGCATTTACATTAAAGACTTTCAGACTTCGAAGAATTAGAAGTCATCTATTTTTCCTACCTACAAGCTTTCATTTTCTAAATCACAACTGGGTATTTCAAGCCCTGATACATCAAGACATGGAACATTGAAAACTGTGCTTACCCGTTGTTTGTACTGGTGACAGTGGTGTTGTGGTAAATGCAGGGGTGGGCTGAGCCTTTTGTCTTGTACTCCCTCTGGACTCATTGGGAACTTCTGTAGTCAAGTCTGGAAAAGGAACAAATGACATGTCAGTGATGGCATACCAGGAAGAATAACATAGCAAGGTCAATGTCAGAAAGTTAAAACTGAGACATTCAACAAACAAAAAGACTTCTTGTGACAACATGTGACTCCTTTTCAGACTGTTCAAGTTTCACAGAGGAAATAACAAAGAGGAAAACTTGAGACTGAAACTTTCATCATCAAACTTGTTTCACATCAAAGTGGACTTTTGTTAGTAAATGACTTTGACATCTAACGATGTTGTACAATTTGAAAATAAATACAACAAAATACTGGACTCCTTATGTCAAGAAAGTTTGACTCAGAAACTAACAAACCAAAGCCAACATCCGTTCCAGACTATTTTTTTCTCAAACACAAAAACTTCCTACAGATGTGAGGAATAGGCTATCTTTCCAGCTGTTGAGCTGGACCAGTGGAGCAGGCCAAAATATACCCTTCAATGAGTCAAACTGGTTTGAGAGAGCTTTCATTTTCACAAGTTCCATCCCCAGATAGTCTTAAGAATTTTTTATGCAACAGTTACTGTAGCCTTACCTGATCTACAGACAGGACAGCACTCTCCTGGCAGGGTGATCTGCTCCTCCTCAGGGCACAGTTGCGGCATGCATATTCTCTGGGAGCACATCTGGTGACCCCCGACACAGTAGCAGTGTGTGCACTGGTCGATGTTCCACTTCTCCCCCTCCCTGTACATCTGCCCATTGTATCTGCACGTCGTCACCGCATTGGACGAATCTACAATAGAAAAGACCACTTCTTAGTTATGTTCATAAATATCATCATTGTGACTCTTCACTAAAGTCATCTTAAGTTTACATTAGAGACCAATGGTGACAGAAGGTACCGGGAAGCTAGCACTAAATTCGCCTGTACAAAATATGGTAAAGACTGTCTGAAGAACAGGCTTGTCCAGTCATCAAAGAACCTACCATCACCAAATCTATCGTCAAACCAAGACAGGAGGCAACTAAATCCAAACAACATATCAACACCAACCGAAGTCACAGTTTGCTTGCCACCTCAGACCCATTAACAGTGTTGTCATTCCATAGGCCATGAGCACAGAGGGTATCTACCTTGTTATCTTTGCTAAGGGAGCCAGCTTATGTTAGGCATCAGATATTGTTACTTCTTCCTTGATGGCAATCTTGAATCTTCTGATATCACTCAAAATTGCAAATCCTTTGGTGATAGCAGATCCAGTCTTAAAGTAGTAGACACTATGTCTCCATGCCTAAAGCTTAAGAAGCTCCAGGCATACTCCAGGCTTCATCTTAAAGTTTACACTGTATAAGGTATTCCTTGGATGAGATAATGAAGTCTGGAAGAAGTTTGGTCCAAATCTTACAAAAGTATCTCTGTGACATACACCCTCCTTGAAAGTCCCAAGTGCATTAAGCAATTATCTTCTGATATTTCTTACAAAAGTCTAAGCCTCTTATGCAACAGATCATGCCATCAGGATTACTTCTTATTCTTGTAGTTAGTTTGGGATGAGCCTGAGCATCAGCGGCGGTTTTCACCAAAAGGAAGGCTCGACCCAAGGTTCCCAAAACCTGCCTGGAAGTTCATGGGTCACATTTTCTCCTGACACCACCTGGGGAGGTTTGACAATTATCTGCTCCGTTTGAGGGATCATTTTGCACACGTAATCCTACCTGGACCAAAGAATAATAAACCTCATCATGAACTCTGCCCTGCTCGCTTTTCAAGCCTTCCAACAAGTACTCCTTTTCTCACCCAGAGGTGAAGCAGGCTCTTAAGAAAATAACTGAAGGGTACAGGTCTGATCCTGCCTCCAACAACATCTCCTTCACAAGAGGCATAAATCAGATTGCTTCAAGTCCAGCCAAATTACAAGGCAGTTCCTTTCGCAATGTGTACTGCTTGCTCAGATCTATGAATCACACTAGAGGGTGTCCAAAATGAATCTGATGAGATGTCCAGTGAAATGTTAGAGGGTGGTGAAATGTCAGATTAAAATTCTTCTGTGCCATTGGAAAAATATACACAGTAATGCAATCTTCATGCAAAATTCCAGCTCCGGACCCTTATCTTAACTACACTTCTGTAAGTACAAGTAAAGACTAGCTATGGTGAAAGATGGCTGAGCTGTGGTGACAGGCTTGATAGTTGCACTATCTATAGTATTGGAACTACAGGGAAAGAAAGAAAATGAGTGCTGTAGGTCAAATTTGTGTAGTGCAGGTAATCTTATGTTTTACAGTATGCAGAAACAAGTATTTCAAGCCCTGACTGTATTGTAGGTAATGGCTATAAAGGTCTCCCTTACCTAAGCACTGGGGACAGCACTGTCCCTTCCTGAGAACAGGTCTCTTGCATCTGACTGGCGGGCAGGTCTCAGAGTAGCAGGTGATGTTGCCATGGAGACAGACGCAGCTGGTGCAGACGTTTGCCTTCCAGGATTCCCCGTGGAGGAACATCTCCCCCTCCTCTCCCTGGCACAGGATGGGCTCCGACATGTCTGGGGGCAGGGGGAACATGTCTGCTCCGGCATCATCTGGGAGGGGCGTGGGAAGAGAAACATGTTTTAGCCTAAAATCACCAACAGTTAATTTCAAACGCTAGTAAAAAATCTATTGATTAAGATCAGCATTATGGACTTTTCATCAAAGTATTAGCAGTGGAAATTGTTGGAGAGAGTTGTAAAATAGTTCTGCAATTTTCTATTGTTATTATGACAGACATCATCTTACAACAATGTACTTGGAGAAAAAAGAATCATGAGACATAAAAACAAACTAACAAACAAACAAACAATCACTCACCTGGACATACTGCACAGCAGGATCCGTCAGTCCTGATGGGGTTCTGGCACAGCAGGGGTGGGCAGGCCTCGGTGTCGCACAGGACCTGTCCATTGTGGCACGTGCACTGCGTACACTGGTCCAACTGCCACGTCTCTCCCTCCACAAAGTACTCCCCGCCGGGCGAGTGGCACACCGTGGGGTTCGCCGCAGGCTTGGAGGCATTGTCCACATCATCTGGGAATGAATTAATTGATTAATGAAAACTTGTCAGGTTTATTTTTTGTCCATACCGTAACCTTCTCATGTCAGAAATAGCCACTGAATGTTTGACAAAGATAACGTAAAAAAATACATTTCCATTTGTATAGCTAGAAAAAAAATTCTTTTCTACACCTGCCCTGATTAAATGGAACACGAGACTAGCTGAACTCCTTGCAGCCCATGACAATTATGAGAAAGGAATACGCCCGCCTCCCTTCCCCCAGGTGCAGACCCTGTGCCTGTTGTTTTCACAAGTGAGGACACACATGTTGGCGAGCACCACCCAAAAACTAATACTAGGAGGNGGACGTGGGTACGGGAACTAGTAGGG